CATGGTTCGAAATAGAAGTGTTTTTATGATGGTGGATGTTGGGTGACCAGAGGGATGAAACTTATAACGAGAGATTATTGCGGTAGGTACGAAATTAAGAGAAGAAAAGAAAGAGCTCGGTGAGACTCAAGTCTTACGAGCAATATGGGAGAGCGGAAACAAGAGACGGTACCGGCGTTATCCGCTCGCCCAAAGACTATACTCTAATCCTACGTTCGTGCCTCACTACGTAATAGAGTGGCAATTTCCCAATAACTTCCTTCATCACCTTACTCAAGCGCGCTCTGCGCGAGCGCACTTTCCGGAAGATCGTCACAATGGCAGTTCAGACTACCTCCGATCACCCCAGGAAACTCGCTGGGTACGACTTTTACCACCAGATCCTCGGTAGCCCAAAGTTCATCGTTGCGCCGATGGTAGATCAAAGTGAGCTGGTGAGTAGAATCTATGTATATTATCCATTACTCTATGTTTACTTGACTCAGGCCTGGAGAATTTTATCACGCCGATATGGTGCCCAGGTACGTCTCCGATTGCCATCACTTTTTGTCCTTGTTATTCACTTACCCAATCTGCTCAGCTTTGTTACACACCCATGATAAACGCCAAGATGTTTTCTCCCCCTTCTGCACACGCATATCGTGCTCAGGCGTTCAATACTTCATGTCTCGAAGAAGGCTCAAGTACACACGACCGCCCGCTCATTGTTCAATTCTGTGCCAATAATCCCTCACAGCTCCTCACGAGCGCACTCGCTGTACAAGATCACTGTGATGCCATTGATATAAATCTTGGGTGTCCTCAGGATATCGCAAGGAAGGGACACTACGGGAGCTTCTTGATGGACGAATGGAAGTTGATCCATGACTTGAGTGTGTTTTTATCATTGTTTTATATTAGAATTCTAATTTTCAAGGCTAATGACGTATCCGTCGGAACAGTCAACGTACTTCATGAAAACCTCTCCGTACCCGTTACCGCCAAGTTCCGAATATTTCCCTCCGTAGAAAAAACAGTGGCTTACGCCAAAATGCTGGAATCAGCAGGGGCCCAGATTCTCACTTGCCATGGTCGCTTGCGCACACAACGCGGACAAAATACTGGGCTCGCAGACTGGTCACACATCAAAGCCGTGAAAGAGGCAGTACGGGTGCCTGTGTTCGCAAATGGTAACATTTTATTTCACGAGGATGTAGAGAAGTGCCTCAGAGAGACCGGCGTGGATGGGGTGATGAGCGCTGAGGGGCAGTTATATAACCCTGCCTTATTTGCTCCTGCACCATCTGGGAGTCCATCATCAACCCTAACAGGTGCACACCCGCCCCATGCGGACCTCGCGCTTGAGTACCTGGCTATTGTCAAGAACCTCAAGACCCCAACATCGACGAGCGCGGTTAAAGGCCATTTGTTTAAAATCATGCATCCCGCTCTGGGCAGGGAGACCGATCTGAGGGAGAGATTAGGACGGATAAGAGGGTCGAATGTCGTTGAGGAGTATATTGAGATTGCGAAGGAGATGAAGCAGCGTATGGAGAGGGATGCTGCGGAGGTGATGAAGGGGGGACAAATAATCGACGATTTGATCACGATCGAGCCTACGACAGGGCTCAGAGTCCTGCCGCATTGGCTCTCCCAACCGTACTTCAGACCGCTCAAGTCTCCAACAGAAGCTTTGAAACGAGCATCTTCACCGATACCCTCTCACGAGGACGTGAAGCGGGCGAGGCTTTCTGGGCAATCTGCCGTAGACGATACAGATATCCCTTTGTGATTACTGCATCTTTCAGCGTTCTTTTATGGAATAGATGTTTGCACACTGCGTAGGTCAAGTCTGGAGTGTCAGTACTTCAGTCCCTAAGATCCGGATGTCGTCGCATGAGCAGGTCGCAGGGTTTGCGATTTACGGCTAGAACGCGCGGGATTGAAAGAGAAGGTGACGCTCCGAATCTTTGATGCACAGCGGCACTCGGGCATTTCGTGTTAATTCGTTTTCGACAGACATCTTTCGTTGTATTACGCATCATAGTAGCGACAGAGAGTAAACCGGAGTCGCATTCTGAATGCTAAGAATACCACGGAAAGAGCAAGATAACGCCATATGTACGCTCCTAGGAACCGCGCTGCCGCGCGTGCAAAAGTCTTAGAACATGGACCTCAAGTGAAACGTGAAAAGAGTTCGAGTAGAGTGCACATGTATCAATTCCGCGGGATCTCAAGCCTATCAGCCACTCGATAGAAAATCAGTCTGAAACACTCAAATGACGGTTAATGGTGCGCAATCGTTGTGTGTTACATATGACAATATCCACTTATGTGCTTATTTAGCTAAGCCGAACCTCTTGGTGAAAATCTCAGCTACAACGTCCTATCGGCAAATCGTTATGATAGCAGCAATCATCGGCAGAGTAGCGGACGCACCTCGTGGAATGTGGACTTGAAGCTCTGCCTTGCCAGCAATCTTTGTACATAACCATTAAATTTCGCATACTTGGGGTCCTCCAGAGCTTTCAAGAAGCTCTTCCTTTCCTCATCTTTGTAGGCACCAATACCCTTCTGCACCATCACGTTCAATCTTGCCCAGAACGGCGTCAATGCGATGTCTGCAATGGTGTACTGGTCGTTGACAGCGTATTTTACCCCGTCAGGTAGAAGGTCCTGAATGGCATCCACGCCGGCCAACAGAACAGCATGGGTGCCTTCCGGGTTGCCGGATGCAAACTTCATGAAATTGGGACCGAACTTGGTGGACACGACCTCGATGAAGAAACGGGCCTGGGCGCGCTGCACAGGGTCCACAGGTACGATACCGGAGGAGGGGTACAAATCGCCGATGAACTCGACAAGGATCAACGACTCTGCCAATTTGGTAGATTCGGGAGAAGGATTTTCTGGGGAAACATCGGGACCACCATAAGCGATAGCCGGCACCTAGGACAAATCTACCTCAAGATGTGATCACTTCGCAAGCAAGAGTGTAGCGCATACCTTGCTGGCAGGGTTCACCTTTGGGGCGTACCACTCTGGCTTATTCCCTAGATCGATCTCGTATCTTTTGAATGGAGCGCCGACCTCGGCGAGGGCAATTTCAGTCTAGATTGGTTGAGTTACGACAGGTACGATTGTCAAGGGTAACAAGCACATACCCTCTGAGCGTAGGGGCATACCTATGTGCATGGGTCAATGTCAGTAGATGTATTCATAGCGTGCTGCAAATATACAGTACCTTCGCAGTGTAAAGGGTGATCTGTTCGTGAGGCATGTCGTCGAAGTGGGAGATACGAAGAGTTGGATGTAGCTGAGATACTTATACATGGGTCGAGCTGGTGCATGACTAACTGAATGATTTCGAGGACTGATCGGGATATCTATACATGAGGAATATGTGATGAGTCTGACGCAATCATGATTAGTTGCTTTATCAGCGACAATAAAAATGCGCCACTGCTGCGGTATCTGCCGCGCCGTTCGGGCCAATTTAATCTATAGACTTGTGACCAGTCTTTACTACGTCTGAGATCTGAGATGTTAAGTGTTTGACATAGTAAGAGTCTTGTAAAGACTGGTCGATCTCGGAGAAATTTGGCAGGCGAACTTGAAGCACGGAGTTTAAATTTTAGCAGGTGCCGGTCGTCCCGGTGAATCACATAGTAGTGCGTCTAGACTGTATTAGTACTAGACGTTAACCTTCTACCACGAGTTTTATGATCTCTGTCCCACCTTTGTTGTGTGCTGCTCTAGACAATATACCAGTGGACTTTACGAGCTCCCTTTCGACGAAACAAAGCCAAAAAAAACTCTTAAAGCTTTTGCGCAACTCGACTTTATTTCATAAGGAACACATGTTAGACTTAGAGCATGTCCGACATCCAGGGATGAGAGGGGGAGAATAGTGCGAGCGCAACCTAAAAGGAATAGAGGCACGAGCAATGCTGCCAATGCATGACGTCGGCTCGTGACTTGTAAATTTGTCTCTGTTTTATTTTTCGATATATTCAACAAGCCACTTACATTAAAAGTTAAACCTAGAGCAGCCTAGAGCCCTCCAGTTTATAACATCTCAATTTTCTATCGAACACTGGGATGTAAGTCTATTATTCATACTAAGCATGTACCTTGTCTAACACATCATAGTTTACCTTGTCTCTAGTAGGTATAGAAGCCGTTAGCTAGAGTTTTCTATCGAACGCTGAGATTTTACCTCGTCTCTAGCCTTCGACTCTCCCATGGGAAGCTACTTCATCACGGAATTGACCTCGCGATGATAAAGCTTTACATTGGCTAACATGGGTGAAATAAGCATCGTCTATTATAGATCCGCAGACGAACCATTCTATACCCGGAGTTACTTGGACGAAATAGGCCATGTCTATATTTCTTATAAAGACAGATTATTTTTTATTGACCGTCTCCTTGTTGGCCAAATGCAATTAGTAAAATTGACGGACAAAGGGCAGACAATGCTAAGTACTCAATTGAATCAACATTTAGCAAGTCGTACCTGGACCACCGATGAAATGAACCCCTCGCTCCTCCTCGCTGGAGGTTCCCTGAAACACACCGTGGTCCTGAACAGGATCTAATGGGGGGCCTCCCTGTGGGGGTGTGCTTTCAGGCAGATTACTACCTACAACGAAACCTGGCATCCTGAAAGGCCTTCAGTACCTTTTCCAGGTGGTGCCAAGGGTGGAAAGAGTACATCGGAGTCGCATTCTGAATGCTAACGATGCCGCGGAAAAAGCAGGACAACGCCATATGTACGCTCCTGAAACCGCAGTGCCAAGCGTGCAAATTTTTTAGAATACGTCAGAAAAAAGGAACTCAAGTGAAGCGTAAAAAGAATTCGAGTAGAGCGCGCACATATCTCGATGCGAATTTATTCCGCGGGATCAAATGATCCGTTCTGTCGATGTCGATTTCAATGAAACCTAACCATGGTGTTTCATTCTTCACTAGTAATTTTGTTGATTATAGATCTGTTCACTGGTAGCACCATGAATTAGCAATGTTATTAGTAACCCTGCATGGTAGTCACAGTACTTTAGCACGTATAGCGAAGGTATGGACTCAGCAGCGATCAACTTCATCTTTGCATGAATGAGCATAGAGGAGTGCAGGCAATTGCAAAGACAAACGAACTTTAATAAGGTGTTGACAGCCGCTCAGGTTCTTGATCTTTCAAGATGCGAGATAGCTAGATCAATATGACCAAGGAGCAGACGAGGTTATCTTTATATGGTACTGAGTTACCTTTGCCGATCGTGAAGTTGTTCGTAGTTTGTCTTCTTCTGGCAAAAGGCCTCTGACTATAAATGTTGGTCTAGAGTGTCAACTGTGGGAGAGCATGGAAGCCGCTTACCCATCTGTGGGACTTCCCGTTGCCAGCATACATGGCGGCCAATCCGTGGACACAATTAGCAAGAACAACGAGACGTCGTGAGACGACATGGTCAAATGCTCGAATGTATACCTCATAAGCTAAGCAGTGCCACTGACCGGAAGGCACACAATTTCGGGGTCTACCTTCTGCGACAGATAGAACGAAACACACCGGTACGGAATGGGTGGCGCACTGGGGCACGATGATTAGTGGTGAGGTAAAATTTTGGGTGTTCCCTATCACGTGGGTCCAAGATTGTCTCACTCACCAATGTTTCTCCTCTCATCCTGTAGTAAAAGCACACTGTGCGGTTTTATTTATCGTGGCTGGAGGACCCACGTGGACACCACCTCCAGCCTATAGGGTCAGTCGATATAGAATCATTCTGAAACACTCAAATGATGGTTGAAACGTTGATGGTATGCAATCGTTATATGTTACATATGACAATTATGTGCTTATTTAGCTAAGCCGAACTTGCTGGTGAAGATCTCTGCCACAACGTCCTATCGGCAAGTTATTATGATAGCAGCAATCATCGGCAGAGTAGCGGACGCACCTCGTGGAATGTGGATTTGAAGCTCTGCCTCGCTAGCAATCTTTGTATATACGCGTTAAATTTCGCATACTTAGGGTCCTCCAGACCCTTCAAGAATTTCTTTCTTTCCTCGTCTTTGTAGGCACCAATTCCCTTCTGCACCAACACGTTCAATCTTGCCCAGAACGGCGCCAATGCTATGTCTGCGATGGTGTACTGGTCGTTAACAGCGTATTTTACCCCGTCAGGTAGAATGTCCTGAATGGCATCCACGCCGGCCAAGAGAGCGGCATGAGTGCCTTCCGGGTTGCCGGATACAAACTTCATGAAATTGGGACTGAACTTGGTGGACACGACCTCAATGAAGAAACGGGCCTGGGCGCGCAGCACAGGGTCCACAGGTACAATACCGGAGGAGGGGTACAAATCGCCGATGAACTCGACCAGAATCAGCGACTCTGCCAATTTGATAGACTCGGGAGAAGCGTTTTCTGGGGAAACATCGGGACCACCATAAGCGATAGCCGGCACCTAGGACGAATCTACTTCAATATGTGATCACTTCGCAAGCAAGAGTGTAGCACATACCTTGCTGGCAGGGTTCACCTTTGGGGCGTACCACTCTGGCTTATTCCCCAGATCGATCTCGTATCTTTTGAATGGAGCGCCGACCTCGGCGAGGGCAATTTCAGTCTGAATTAGTTGAGTTACGACAGGTACAATTGTCAAGGCTAACAAGCACATACCCTCTGAGCGTAGGGGCATACCTAATATGTGCATGGGTCAATGTCAGTAGATGGATTCATAGCGTGATGCAAGTATGCAGTACCTTCGCAGTGTAAAGGGTGATCTGTTCGTGAGGCATGTCGTCCAAGTGGGAGATACGATGAGTTGGATATAGCTGAGATACTTATACAAGGGTCGAGCTGGCGCATGACTAAATGGTCTCCGAGGACTGGTCGGGATATTAGAATATACGATGAATCTTCGGACGCAATCACGGTTGCTTTACATATCAGTGCTGACTAGCGCTGACTGATGAAACTGGCAACTGCCAATGTGCGGCCTGCGGATGAATTCAACTTATTAATTGTTTCAAGGATATCCCAGATCCAATATTTCCTCACCTCGCAGGTTGCGGCGATTCAGATGTTGAGTGGTGCCACGGGTCGGTGAGTACTGAGAATCGAGACTTCTTCAAGTTTGAATAATAACCAATTGAGCGCTCCGAGCCTCCAGCCTAGACAAAGTTCGGGGACCCCGCATCCTTCAATTGATTTGATACAGCGTTGGAACTTGAAGCTAGTAGTTGTACATGTGTTCTCTGAGAGGTCCGCCTCACGTCGATGGCCCGGACGTTTCTAAATTCTCAGGCACGGTGACTTGAAGCTGGTGAGAGATACACCGTGAGACTCGTTTCAACGTGTCGTGCCCATCTTCACTTAAGTGGCGTCCACTTGCTCTTATCCAATAAAGTACTCTCATCCATTGATATTTACTTTCCATGCCTGCCTGGACAATAATTTCGCCGGAAAACCCAGTGAACGATCTGAAGGGTCATCCAATGCGCATAAACGTATACCGGGTGATGAAGGCTGTTTATCATATTTTAGACCCATCAAACGAACCGAGTTCCACGATTGATGAAGTAAAGCACATCGCAACCCTCGAGTACGCAGTCTCGCAAGAAAAGGAGGGTCCTCCTGAAATATCAAGCCTCATCATACATCTGCGCCTTTCTGCACAGACTGAAACGCGCTTTGATGTTGTGCTGCATGACTCGGACATGCAGATCAAAGACAAGGTACAGAACACGTGCATTTCGCTCCCTGGAGAGCTTGCCCCGGTTCTGATGGACATCTCCTGGTTCGTTCGCGAGTTCGTCATCAGAAGGTCAGCTATCAAGTGGAAACCAGCTTCGGACTGCAGTTTTGGCCGTAGGGTATGGGACCAGATGCAAGAGGAGGTAGGCGTTGCTTTGTATTCATCCACTATCAGGATGTAAATCAAGTACTCTAGAAATACCGTCAGCTTGTTTCACAGCAGGGGACTACTGGTGGCAGAAACACCTGCCAAAGCTGTAAGGTTGTATCGCGCCGGTCGGTCAATTGCCGTGAATCTTCCGAACCCCCAATCGTATGGTGCGCTAAACATTTAGACAATGAATTATGCCTTCCGTGCCTCGAAGAGCAGGGGTCCAAGAGAGAGCTAGAGAAATGTCCTGCGTGCAAATCTTGGTGCTGTCCCAAGGATATAAGCGAGTGTATCGGTCATCCCGTTACCATCCCTTCGGTTTCCCGCGCATCCTCTTTTGATCACTTTCGGCATGTGATGACTATCTACTCCCAATCAGCTAAAGTTCACCCTCTCAAGCACGGTTCTTGCGGCCAATGCAAGCTACTGGGCTGGCGAAGATGCCCAGGTCGCTTATGTTGGTCAAGTCACAGTTTGATCTGCCCGGAATGCACCAGTGGTGGTATCACTTGTGCGTGTCGGAAAGTGTGGGCATGTGATGTCTGCGCGGAGCATGATAGCAGCATCTTTATCCGTTGTCCGCGCTGTGACAGGCCATTCTGCACATCTTGCACCTATATCGACCGATGCAGACGGTGCACCCGTGCTACCCTCTGCTATGACTGCGCTGAAGAAACGTCGGATGTGGATGACTGCACCAAGGATGCATCTGACTGCGCTAAAGAAACGTCGGATGTGGATGACTGCACCGAGGATGCATCTGACTGCGCTGAAGAAACGTCAGATGTGGATGACTGCACCGAGGATGCATCTGACGGGGTAGTAGAAAAGTTTGCTACGCTTGCCGGAACATGCGAAGGCTGCGGGGAGAAGTTGTGTAGTCGCTGCGCGCTAATTAGAGCCTCGTGGTATTCATGCATGGGGTGCTTGGTGATGAAGAACCGTCGTACTGAACGTGCACATGCCTATTACCGCAACTGATCTGAGCCAACATGGTTGTAATTCACAGGTCGCTCCATATATATGAGAACAGAATGTTTGATTCCGCGGAGGCAATGCGCGTGACTCCCATGGGTGTCCCCAGCTGAGCTCCACTGTTCTCTGTTTGTGTTATATAATTTGTGTATGATGCACCTCTTGTCATAGCTTGCTGTTGTGTTGCTGGTAGTACGCCTCTGCCGCAGTCAGCCCTTTCCATGCTAGTGAAGCGCCCATTTTGTACATACCATATTCTCAGGAAACCTATTCCCTCATTTGTTTGCTTCGACATAAGTACTTATCTTATGCTAATTATCAGGAGAGCTCAAAGTAGGCTGCCTTTCCACTGTCGCTTTCGCTTTTGCCGCTGAGTGCAAACATACTTATAAGTAGCAGCAAAGCAAAGCTCAGACTTACGTTGAACACCGCCTAGCAAGCCCAGACGCTGCCTACACAATCACGCGGTCTGCGCCAAAGTAGGGCGGACACAGACGCTTGCACATCTTAGTACTTTTGCTTTTTGTCAGCTTTCTCTAGGAGTCGAAAGCAGGCCGGTGGTTTGTACAGACATCTCAGCATCCTTGTAGCTACCACGCGCATAATATTGTCAGTATCTATGTATCGTTGGCGAGTGCTCGCATGACTTTTTGTTCTTGATCGATATAATTTACCTGCAGTCGACTGATCGGTGGCTAAACATCTTAACGTCGTGGTGTCGCTTCATTAAAAAAATCAAACAAGAACTCGACAAAGAAGTATGATCCTAGTCTTCAGGCACTGCTGCGAAATTGATAAATAGAGACGAACTGAGCACTCGAGTTCGATAATCCCGTCAGATGGGTCAGAATAAATCGATCAGCATGTCTTTATGTCTCTGTATGTGCGATGTTGCAGCCGCTTCAACTTTGATCGAGACTGACGGTGATGAGATTAGGAATACCGAAGCACCTGTGACGCATCAGCATGATGTCCAAGGGCATCTCTAGTTTTCGCTACAAATCAGCAGCAACATTGCAGGATCGCCCACTCTGCTGTTCAGTGCGTTGTTCAGCCGGACAACCATCATGTATCCAGGATCGGTGCTAGGTATAAAATAGGAAGGGAATATAGAATCAAATGGTACACTTCATATTGCAGCAATAAAATCATTGTTACGTGGAGCTGGAGGGTTTGATGTTATCAACTGCGAGGACAGATGGTAAAGACTAGGAACTCACGCGTCTCGGCAACTCGACCAGCGCCTCCCATGTGCCATGCAGCTCAAATCAAGCTCAACACCTCCTCTGGGGATCACCATTGCAGTGTCAGGAGAATAAAACGCGGGTCGTGAAGCAGGAGGTACCCAGAAAAGGAGCTCATAATTGGGTCCCATGATCCACCCATCAGGCTGTAGCAAGAAAGGAGTTAAATTAGAATGATGACCAGAGGTGGGTTCGAGCAAGTAGGGGGTTGGGCAGGGCGTGTTTTAGGCAGGGCGAGAAGGAAATGGGGGGATAATCAAAAGTATTGGTTGGCGTGATACGAGTCTCCTGAGTGGGAGGTGCGGTACATCGATGGGATGGAGATGCAGAGGGATCCGGTTCTCTTGATTCGAGGAATGGCAGCACTCTCATAAGCCGCACAGTGTTATCGTGCGAACCAGACGCGATGCAAGTACTATCTGGTGAGAACAGGACTGAGAAAACTGCACCAGTGTGCCCCTTCAAGGGCTCACCCAATGGCTGTCCCGTCGCTGCATTCCACAGCCGCACAATGTGATCGTTCGAACCAGACACAATGCGAGTACCATCCGGTGAGAACGAGACTGACCGAACCGGGCCAGTGTGCCCCCTGATTATGGCCTCAACAACCGTCCAGTTCAAATCGCGGCCGCGTGCTAGACGAAAGCTATTCGGAAACCTAGCCGTAAATTTGGTAGCTATGGTAGAGTTGACGGGTGAGAACGGGAGTGCTGATAAATACAGATGAGGTGTGCTGTGCAAAATCATCCCGCCAAACACTTGGATGAATCTTCGTACATCCATCGTGGCGGATTGCAAATCTTCGTATCCAGAATGGCCCTGTATTTATGTATGAGATGTTGGTCCGACCCTGCCCCATAGGCATGTGCTCACCTTCAGCCACTTGGCAACGAGTAGAAGCACAGCACCTGCACCGCTGATTGCATTGAGAAGTCCGAGTGCTTCGACCCAGAACATCAGTCGCTCGTCGTCAAAGAGTGATCTTATTTCCTTTGCGAGCTCATCGTCAAAGTCCGTTGTCTGGACATGCGTAGCCCAATATCGACAGGAATAGGACAGATGTGGGGGAATGGATGTTTTCACTCGTTCAGACAGCCCTGTGTCCTGGGAATTAGGGAGATACGATGACTTCAAATCACAAATATTGAAACCAAGGCCATCTTTCATCACTCGTAGCGACGCGAATGCAAGGTCGCGTTGTCGCCCCTTCGTTCTCTCGACGAAGAAGTCTCCGCTGGATGATTCGTCCGTCAGGAATTCTTGGAATGTCGCATGAAGGGGTCGGATGGGGGTATATGAGTCGGTGGTGCCGCTGAGGAGGGATCCCATGTGTTTGATCACTAGATCTACTTCGTAATGGTCGTGGTCCTCTGGAAAATGCTGCCGCATAGCATTCAGTGAAGCTAAAGGGAGAGGTTCGGCTGTGGCAAGTATTTGTCCCATCACGGAACGGAATCTCGCTATTGCTTGTTTGTGGGCTGTTGTATTCTTATCTTTTGGCATGATTTCTGTTAAGATGAGCCGATACATATCATACAACAAGTTCTTCCGCTCCCCCGGATTGCGGTTCACGACGGCATTGAAGCGGTCCATTGAAGATGAACCGAACTCGGGTTCCCTGATGTAGTTGCATGCGAGACGCGCCCACTCAAAGAGTCCGTCTGATTTCGCAGCGAGCGTTGTAAGATGGTCGTCCTGAAATTCCGATAGCTCTTTCAGCTCCTCAGATGCGAAGGCGTGAATGTCGCGCTCCGCGACTTCTGGTGCAATACTGTCCATAGAGAACCGCAGAATATGATCAGCGCCTTCAAATCCCTTTTCGATGTCGGGAAGCGGGCGAGAGGTGACGAGAATCCGAAAGTTGGAAGGGAGTTCGGTGATTTGGGGAACCTTTTTGTTCTGAAGTTTACCGGCAAGTATGCGGAGAAGGTCCTGCCGCGTCTCTACTCCGCCGCTCTCGTCCAGCGCATCTATCACGATCAAGACAGGCCCCACGCTTGACACAGGGAACTTCTTCAGCAGTCCTATGAGAAGCTCGCGCCACTGCTGCATAATGTCCGTGGTATTCTTGAGCGAGATGTCATTCCCGACTGCATCCGCCAACGTTCGTTTCATCCCAGGATCACGATCAGCAAGATCGCGCGCGATGGTAGAGAAGATCTTTTCGTGGCGACGATCTCCTTCTCTGTGCCGATCAAAACAAAAACATGAACCGAGGCCTCCGGTTTCCTTGAACCAGTTGGCAATCGTGTGCGCGATGGCTGATTTGCCCTTGCCTGCAGGGCCGTATAACTACATTACACGTGGAGCCTTCGCTGTTGTTGATCCACTTGGTGATTTGGGAGAGAATGTCCGTGCGAGTCCCTGACAGACATTGCTTCCCAGTGACTACGCCTGCGCCCCCTGCATAAACCATGCCGCTGAGATCGAGTGTTTCACCTTTGAGGGCATGAGTCAACGCAAAGACAAAAGCGTGTCAGACTCCTTACCCGTGCGTTGGACGAAGACTGCCACGTCTCGATCGACTTGGTCTCGGAATTGCTGCATAAGGTCGTCCAAATTCTTGCTGTACTGTTTGATGATGTCGCCAGTTTCCGACACAACGTTTTTCCCGAGTCTCTTCCCTATGATAGCATTATAAGATTCATGCACGAAGTGCGATAGCTTGGTGACCCACAAAAGCTCTTTGTTTCCGAGTAGTCCCTGATGAAACGAGCGCACTCATGAGTCTGCTGAACGATCTTTCCAACGATACCGCGCATCGATTCAATTTTTTCAAGACTGTCATCTTGAGTCATGAAGTGGTAAACTTCAGCCAATTTTTGGAGAAGACTAATAATCGATTGATCGCGCTCTGCCTGCGCAATTATAATCTTCATGAAATTAGAACTTCTGATGAAACTGGACTCTGGGAGAAACTGCACATACTTTGGATGCAGCAGACAGCACACCCAGCGCCATCTTTGCGTATGGATGTATCTATACGACTTGATTAGTTCACTTCCAATAGACAAGAATAGCACTTACATCCCCGATCTTCTCGAGGACACCATCAATAATCTTCAGGGGTTGGAGATACTTCGTCTCAAAATTATCCGCGGCAGCGGCAAGACCCCCTGGGACATTGTTAGCGGCCGATGCCATAGAAGTCGCATGTTTCCCGAGTGATCCCATGCTTTGTGTACTATCACAGGCACTCTGAAGTTCAGCATCAACTAATTGGGGATCAGGACCTTCCTCCTCGCCAGAAGGAGTGGCCTGAACCTGTGGTACCACCAAAATTAGAGAGGAAAGTCAAAGCATGTGACGAAAATACCTGGGAAGCAGGCTCTTCGGACAGCTCATGGTTCACGGAGTCACTGGGAATCTCAGATGTGGTGGGATGCTTGTTGTCGTTGGATGACTAGAAACGCCTCTAAGAAAACCGAAGGATTAGAATAGTAAGTTCGAGCACTTACGTCAACTTTCTGACTTGATGAAGCCCCTTCCATTTCGACGTTCTGGATCACAGTGGTTGAAGCATCTCGAAGGTCTACGTTCTGGTTCGCAGGAATGCGGTTGCGGGAAGACTTGAAGGGTTTCTGCACAATGTCAGCCATATCATTCAGAATCAGGAAACCCAGCAGTCCACTTACAGAAAGTTTCTTGGTCACGCGTTTCACAAATGTCCGAATACCCTGCTTGACTCCACTACGAGGTTGGCTCTGGACGACGAAAGCGTCAGAAGCAGGCATGAATTGCATGAGCGCTCATCCACGTCGAGTAAGGCTTGAGACCACATACCGGGTTTTCACGAACTGGCCTATGGTCTCTACTCATCACGAGTAGTTGATTACTGTAAGTGAGGTGAGGGCGCAAGAAGTAGGTGGGAGAAAAGAGAGAACCTCAAGCATGAGCTGAATACCCTTGACCAAAGCATGGCCAACACGTTGACTGGCTTCTTGAGGCGCTAATCATGATTAATCGGCCATAGCCCATTGCCGAAGGGTGTATGATAAAGCCTTGAAGGGGCAATGCCATCAATCTGCGTAATCATTCAGCACACTTGCTGATGCACTGGGAGAAGCGAGAGAAATGGTTGGTTGTTGTGGGAAATAGTTTTAAGGTCGTGACTGAGTTCACTGGGGAATGCGTTGACGAAGAGTTTGGAAAGGGAGGCTTTTCTGTGTAGGGCCGTTCAGGTTTTGTAGGCATTAAGCAATTATAAAAGGGTGGTGGATTCAATCAGGATCTACAAAAGTAGATGGGCTTTACATGCGGAAGTGAGCAGCAACTAGGTATACAAGTGGAGGGTGCATCAGCACGAGTGTCATCGAATGGTTGTTGAAGGATGAAAGGAGTGGTGGTGATAACATTAAAGCAGGTACAAAGAGAGTAAGATGAGGGAGGCAGCGGTAGCAATGAGATAATACAAAGGCGGAGAGAAGTAAAATGTAAAAGAATGGAGTAGGAACGGAAAGGATAGACCGTCCAGTAATGCGTACTATGTTGCGATGGTTGAAGTGTTAGTCCGAGCGAGCGAGGGTCCAGCGCTACAGCCATAGTCCTAAGTCAAGGAGGGGGAGAAACAGTTGTTGTAGAAGTCGAGAAGGGAACGTTCAACGAAATGGCCGATGTAGTCGAGCAGGAAGATAAATGTCATTGTGGGAGACTCGGACAGTCAGAATTCACCGAAAGGGAAGGGCGACATCATGATCCTAGGCGCGAGTTATAACGTGGGGACTCAGTACTCAGCGCTCAGCTCGTACCTTTGTGAGGGAATTCACCGGGTCCTATACCGAATAACGTCAGTCGAATGGTACATGGTTTCAGAAACATGGGGAGGAGTCACATGTTCACTAGTACTAGCACTTCATCAACACGATCCGTTCCATACTCAAAATTACAAATGTATAGAAGTTCTACAGGCGGTTTAAATGCCGGTCTCTATGACATCCATCAAAGGCAGGGACATGATCTGTCATACGTCATGCTTTCATGCGCCATGGATGTCTCAAATCAACGCCTTTCTGGTACAACAACTCGTCCACCATAAGATATCCACGACTATGTCTCTGGGTGACGACCTTGGTAAATGGTAACATTTCTTTATGAGGTCGAGAGAATCTGACACTACAAAACCCACCACACAATGTAGCGTTAGCATTCATGCCTGCAGATGTTACGAGTGCCATTGGCGGAGTCATGCTCAATACCTATATTCGTATTGTCAATTCGTAAGGACATTGGTGAGTCAAGGAGTGAGCTAACCCGACGAGTTTCCCGAAGCCGATAAGGCTGAAATGAGACAGGCCTCTCCATGTCTTGCGAATCTGAGGGTCGCGCGGCGCTCCAGAGGGCTTGTCTATCAAAGACCCAATATTTGAAGATGATCACTGCAAGTGGAACAGAAGGTGAACTTACGCTGATCACAGTACCGACTAGCGCTAACAGCCCAACTGGTACAACCTTCAGCTGCACAACGCTCAGCCATAGTGATTTGTATGATATGGTATGATGTTGAGAATAACAGTGATAACAAGATCAGTCTGCCTTCATGCAGGTGGATTGATCACATTATTTATATGGCAGCGGAGTGGGGCACGCCACACCTCAACAGTGCCAATGTTTCTGCCGTGCGCCACTCGAGCCCTGGGTCAAGGTATTCCCGTCGCCATAGGTTCCTATCTCGTTAGTGACTCAGTACTCATCGAGTATGGCTGGGAACGTTGACCCACACTGACCAGTGTATTTGCCATCAAGTACTGATGCGCCCTGCACATCAATCCCTGAGCGCTGGTCCCCAAACCATTTGAGGCCGCCTTTGGATCGCTCAGTGGGAATTGCACAAGCTCGAGTCATTTTCTTATCGGACGTGATGAACTCTGGCGATAGTGATTATGGGCTGCTTCGACCCGCCACATCTGTTTTGATGCGCGATATCAATCAATTGATATCATAGATGTCTTCGACTTCGACCGCCCATACATGTCAATTGTACTGGAAAAGTATTATTATCAAAGGCGTTCTATAGAAACTTTTCCGAGTTGGTAATGACTCATTTCAATTCTTCACCAATATGCTCGGCAAAATGATGTCTTGATTCGAGACCAGAAAAAATGAAGAGCGGCTACGTGTACTTATAGAGTGACAATTCATGATAAGGTCCGTTACAACACCAACTAGCAGGTAAGATTACAATGTACGATGGGGAGGTCAGCTAGTGCAGGACTTGATTGTCCAATAAAACCTGAAGAGCATGTTCGGACTGATACATGCGCAAAGCATCAGAACGCCATGTCTCCCACTCCCAACATTCGTTTCCCAACAACTGAAACAGTCCCTTCATATGTGGCTTGCATGCCTCGGGACGATCACCATTGTCAAGGATGAATGAAATCCGGTGATAGGCACGTCCATGACGAACACACGACGCCATATCTGACCGACCAAGCGAGTCAAATATCCTCGCGAGTTCCTCTTCATCCTGCGACAGAAGGTTATTGCCATCATCAAATTCAAGTGGCAATAGCATCACAGGCGCAGCAAACGCGAATGATTTTGCGACAACTTTCGACCACTCCCAATCAATGATGCCAAGGATATCAAGTTGGTCATTGACGAGTATGTGGTCACCTTTGTCATCTTGATGGCGCAGACAAAAAATTTCACTGTTCATCGATTCGGCTGACAGGATGCGAGGATAGGTATCCAGTAGAGTGCGATATATGAGGTAGGATGTCACAGGATCACTGACAGCCCACTGAGAAGATTCGATGAGGCGAAGATAACAACCAATTGTGTGATCTAGGTGTTGACGAAGGCTGGTGAACGGCCCCAGTAGGTCAAGTTTCTGGGAATAATTCGGTTCAAATATCACGCGATCCGCAAATGCGCCGATAGACGCATGCGGCTGAATAATAGAACCGGATTGTCGAAACGAATGATGATCTAGTGTGATGAAAATGTTGGCTAGTTGATGGAGTACCCGACGACGCTGGTCGGAACCTAAATCGTACCATCTAAGCGGGGAAGCTTGCAGCTTATCCATCAGAATATAGTTGATGCCGACACCGTTTGAATCAGCTGTTATGCCATATCCGTGAACGACAGGAGTTGGCACTCCAATGCGGTTAAGATACACCAATGTCGCGAATTCACTGAGCAAAATGTGGTTTTGCACAGCTGGGGGAGGTGTGACTGCAGTTGTTCGTTGAATGCGAGCGAGCCAGACGACATTATCATCAAATAAGATATCGAGATGAACGTTCATCCCTCCCATCATCTTCGAAAGCTTAGGGCGGTTGGCTGTGGTTGCGACAAGAGCTGGAATGCTGCACGGGATATCATTGCGATTCCGAAGAGATGATGCAACGTTCGCTAGCTGAATGGGATTGATGCGCTGTTGAAGCGCCACGAGTTCAAAAGTTTCTGTCTTCACGAAGGCTTTGCAAAACGCATCCCAGTCCTAAGATTCATTGATTGAGCAAGAAAATGAAAGAGTGGCTTGGACTAACATCTTCGCTCTTGGGGCAATCGTGAAAAGGAGGACTTCGGTGTTTTGAACAAAGGCGACGGTGACAGCAACCCATAACAATGCTGTATCTCACTGGTGCATTATGGCAGTCAAGAATATCGCAAGTGAGCATCTTTGAAGCAAACTACTCCCCATAGTAATTTCAATGAAGTTGAGGTTCTACGCTGATCGGAGTTTCGATGAGTCAGATGCATCCCCTTGCCAAGGCGCTTCTCGGTACCTGTAGGGCCTAGGGGGACTCAGACCCGGTTTCTACTAAACATTTAGTGTGGACAGATAGGCCCCTGCCCCCAGTGACTGTCTCTTCCAACGCTGAGGCTACTACACAACGGGTTGCACATCCATGACGCCTTTGTGATCAGCAACTTACACGGACTTTTAAGGTTCCCCTTACCTGCGTCGTGCATCTATCAATCATGCCATTGATGATCATCCTGTTAAGGCCTTGTCGCGTACGCTTCGTGACTCACCAGTGTGCCTAACTTGAAAATGACTGACATTTTTGCAGAGCTACACCGCCAATAGTACGTCAATCAATCTGAAGTAGAAGATGCTATTTGACTAGCCATTCACGCCTGACTGGAGAACACTCCACTTCGTCTAATCAACACCTCTACTGGATGTTTGTGCAATCAAGATGCGCAGATCAACGCATTTACGGAGAGTAAAGACTATAAAGAGCTTTTACATTCATCAGTGATACACGTGCCCCTCCAAACTCAGCCCATCAAAGAAGCGGTCGGGCAGTACTTCGGATGGGACATGTTATCGCACAGGTGGGAAATCCAGCTATACGACATTCAGCACAAGACCATATTATCCGATCCGGACCCGGCTGGAACTGTAGTGAAGTTACAGAAATTCTGCAAAGCCGTTCGCGATAGGAGGCATCGTTGGGCGTGGAGTGATACGCGCTGCATCGACCGGCTCGACACTGTTGAGTTTCAGACCACTCCATGTTCATCTGACATCACTGCTCAGCGCTCACCACTCACCATTGTCTACCTATCGGATGTTCCTTCTTCATCAAAGTCGGACACGCGAGCATGGAGTATTCTCGTAAGGGGAGTGAGAGTGACTATGATCAATGATTCTATGGATGGATGGGGACACAAGATATATCGGTGATGGGAAGGCTCGGATACGACACTTGGATGTTCGGGCAGACAAAGTCCAAATCCATACTGAATGGACGCAGAAGAGTGGGATGATCAGATAGGCTAGATAAGGCTTCGATCAGAAACAACAAACTTGAAGGGAGAGCAGGTAGGCATACTTGTCGAGAGTATCTGTCAAATGTACCAGGAATCAAATCCCCGATTTACTACCACTTCGAGTTTTTGCGGCTGGCTCTGTTTTGTTTATTCGAGTTTACCTAAATCCAGCGAATTCTCAGTGACACGATACGACAGAGTCTTGCTCGGGACTTACATAGTTGACTCAGGGCGTGCATAGGAAGCTATTGGATAGTCTCTAAATGGACTCGTCGCTGATGGCCCTTCTCCAAGCTGTCCATCTTCAATGGCGTCCATCAGTCGATCGAGCCCTTTATGCTGAATGACTGAGGGTCGTGGAATAAGCCAGACACATGCCCACCCCGACATCATCCATCTGGGCAATAGGGAAGTAGTAATGAGTCGTGCGTGAAGGGTGAAGGTCGGCTGCCAATGTCCTCAGCAACTATTGGTAGGGATTGTTGTGATTGGGCGTCACACCAGATCGAGGTCCATTCTGTTTTGGGTGCTACTGGCACAATCAATCGTTGATCGACGTCTATTCAAGCCTGATTCGACGATATCGAGCATGACAATTTAGAACAGACTTACGAGATGAGTATAGGCCTCTGTCAAGAATGTATGCGCATGGCAAGGAGATGAAAAATGATGAGAAGGGAGTAGAGATGGGAAGCGGGCGTCAAGTCTGGACTCGGAAGGTATCAAACGTTCCTGTAAAAGTATCAGTAAGGCGCCGACTACAATATTTTGATATACATACTTTGATCAGATCACATCGACTCTATCATGTCACTACCTGAGCAAAGCAAAAGAAGAAGTGGCGGCGAGTCGTGAAACCTTAGACGGCTGATACTGTTTCAGATCAGCACGCGGACTATCTGTGCTAGGCGAGGAGTAAAGCGCGCCCGACAAAGTATCACTGATGCATCAGTTATCTGAGGACAAAAAAAATGTGGAATCATGAAGATGGTTACCTTGTGTCCCGTGCTGATATCTACCTTGTGTCCCGTATTGATGGTTACCCTGTGTTGATGGTCTAGATTGAGTCTCGAGGCATGTATGAATGATGAACGCCAAGTGAGGCAGGGATAGCGGCTGTCGCAGAAGACGACACCACCGTCCCAAGTAAACACAGTTCATGCAGGGATTAATGACGGCAGAGAGTCGGCCCAGGTTTGATTGTGCAGATGTAAGTAATTTTTTACAAGATGAATCATGATGAAGGCGCAGACGGCGTTCAAGTTGCCGTCGACATTGTAAAAAAGACGCTCTAAAGGTCTCTAAATCGGGTCGTATAATGGACTATCAGATCGGAAATTGAGTTGGAGCTATGCTAACTAACGGATTGAACGTATGATACTTACACGTGGATTTGAATCTGGTGAGGCCGAGTCGGTGCAAACTTGCAAAGGGAGATCAATTCGGATGAGCGGTATTCTTGATATTAAGACCGGGTACCGGTGAGAGAACGTTCTGGGTATTGAAAGATAGAACGTTGACCGTCATGTACCCGCGAGGCGTGAGAAGATTCAGGCAGTACCTTCAGTAGTGCAAATCAAATTCTACTTTCAAATAGGCCGATCACCATCATGCCGATTTTGGTGACCTCTGGTATATAAATGCTAGATCGTCATACACACCCAACATCCCCCACCCTCGAATATGACCGTTGTCTCAAATAATCCCAGTTGGTGGCCCATCATCAATCTCAGTATTTTGTACAGCTATTTGATAGGTTCGCCATATCAGCTGGTTATGTCTTGATTTTATATTGACTTTTGGTTTCGCAGTTGCTGCAGCCTTCGTGGTAGTATACGATTGGGGTGAGCAGCACAGTGTCCTGAAATTGCTGATATTCTCATGATATTTCCAGTATTAACACTCCCACAAGAGGTAGGTTGATGCTATTGCCGCCGGAGCACCCAACTTGCTGATAATGGTGTCATAGATTGACCTCATTTGGGTGAGTCACAGAGTTCCATATCAGAACAAAAACAATGAATTCGTGACAGACGCAACGCTGGTCTCTCATGACCGTGCTGTACCTAGTCGTTCGTACCTCATTTTATACCATAGCATCGTTGGTGGTTGTGCTGACTCCAAAATGTTCTAGACACGCTATGTTGGAATATCATTTTGGGTGTATGTTAATCAAGGCCAAAAAGTAGTTGCTGTACTGATAGCCATCTCTCATTATCAGTCCTGGCGTTATGGGTATGTCTCATATCCACCATGTTTCATTTTTTGACCATCGGCGCACAGAATCCATGCCATTGGTCTCGCTGACAGATGCAGTGAGTATCCCGCAACCATCTCATTTCCATCCAACAAATACATTCATTTGTAGGAGTGAGTGCGATTTGACTATTGGACTTGGCTTCACATAATGACTTAATAGGTGTGAGTCGGAGCGTTTTGTCCTAGTACGAGAGTGACCGCTAATCGGGTGTTTCAGGCAATATCATGTTCAATGCAACAAATGGGGCAACTGTGGTCATAACTGCCATGTTGGACGGTGAGTTGCCCAGCTGCGATATCTCAGTGATACCGACTCGACTGAAATATGATCCAAGTCATCATGATTGCTCGTTTGCATGCCATGTACCAGAGATCTAGGAGGATGCTTATCTTCCTTGTTATCATCTTCCTGGTTGTAAACATCGCCTGCGGAGCAATCACGATCATAGGACTCAAGTATCATTTCGCATCGGGTAAGCTTTAGTTGTTGAATTGAAGAACACAGCTCATTGGACAAATACCAGAGGAACTCATACTCTCTGGTATTCATATATGCACTGCCACATCTGAGGGGGATTCCCAGCTTCTGGTATCAATGGTCTGGATGCTCAACACTGTGTGGGAGGTCCTCGCACTGTGTCTTTCAGTCTGGATCGCTGCAAAGCACTTCTGTGACCTACGACGACTCGGCCCATTGACGGGATCGACCATCGGGGACTGTTTCAGAGTGCTGATGGAATCTCACGTGCTTTATTTTGCAAGGTGAGCTTGTAATGCGAATGTGCTTATGGTCTTCTGCTCAAGTTCCGCATGTGCTAGCTTTGCCGGTGTCTCTTGCCTCCAGCTTGTTTCTCTCTCTCCAGAGCTCCAGGTACGCCAACATGTCACTGACATCTACATGTAACCACTACTCATCATTTTTGTAGAATTCGAATCCTGTAACAGCTACAATAGTCTATGGTATTGTGGCAAATTTATTATCCGTGCAGATGTTTGTGCTGGGACCACGCCTCATCCTTAGCGTTCGACAATATCACGCTAAACTCGTGGCCGAATCCGACGCAGAAACTAGCATGAATTCGATTGTCTTCCAGGAGCGTATGCATGTACCAACTAGCAGTACTGTGTAGGAAATGGTTGCCGAGTGTTCCACATGGAGAAGATATTTGGTCGAGGATCCGTCGTATTTATTTTGGTTATGGCGTCTCAAAGTATATTTTAAACGAGGTTTATGTAGACAAAACCCATTTCTTGTTGTATCACTACTTGAAGTCGGTGATCTGCCCGCCCACACTCGTACCGGGCGGCAAGCTGCAATTACCCGGCACATCTAGCAATGAACCCGCCCAGACAGCTGATTCTACGTGTTTGCGGAATTCCTTTGTCTGAGATGACTGTAATCCATCGTTGCCCAGATGCGCTTTTATCCATCTAGGCCACGGAGAAGGAAGAGGAATAAATCGCGCGGACTCATGGTTCCTCTATCGCGAATGAACATCGCAAGAAGATGAGGTGTGCTCGCACAAGTGAGGCACCTGACTTCTGTTGATGACATGATGAATGTCAGGATGCTGGATATAGTGTAGCTGCGAAGCACGCGGCATTTTCATTTCATACATTGACAACATTTCAATATGAACAGTATCTCTGGAATTTTGCATCGTATCAATCTCCATATCGTATTATATATTGTCTCGTATACAAACAAGCTGATCCCAAAGTCAGACGTCCTAGGGAAGGGGAGAAAGCTCCGGTGCAAGCGCTTCCTAAAACTGTACATTCATTCGGTCTTCTTAGCGCGCAAATTTGAAGTGCGACGTTGATATCAAAACTCGGCAGTTCGGCAACAGTCCACAAGGTCCGAATGGATGCGAGACCGTGCTGAGATACTGCAAGGGAAGATCGCGGGACAGCTGAAGTAACGAAGCTGTTAGTGACAAGAGAATAGAATGACACAAGGAAGTCAAGTACCGAACCACTCCCGTGGTGAACGTGGGAGTAAAGCTGATCACTTTGCCCTGGTCATCTTTGGCAGAAGAAATATCCAATGTGGCCAACATGGTCACAATGGCAGACCACACAGAGGCATCAGCGGTATACCGCCCTGATTAAAGTCTATTTGTCAACGAATTTTTCATAGAATTAAAGTAACTTAACGAACCTGGACACATACGCCGGCCAGAGCCGAAGGAGTATTGTGCAGGGTCATCGCCTGTTAACGCGCCATCAACGTCAATGAACCTTTCTGGTATAAAGCGAGATGCGTTGGGGTACCGCTTTTCATCCCGTGTAATGCCCCTAAAATCAAGTTAGTGTTGCAAAAGCCGAGAGGAACTTATCGGACCATATGTTGTACGTGATGATTGTGCCTGATATACGGTATTATAAATAATCATTGTGTTGATGGGACAACAACAGCGGACCTTTTGGAATGAAATAGCCATCGTATATGTCATCACTCGAGGTGGCATGTGGTATGCCTATGAGAATATCTTCAGTACAGGCCAGATCACTTGGCAGGGAAGAATACCAAGGGGTCCAATGGGCTCCCATCGGAAAGTCTCTCGCAAAAGTGCATCAATGTAGGGTAGTGACGCTCTGTCCTCGAACGTTGGCAGCCTTTCTCTTCCAACCACTGAGTCGATTTCCGCTTGTGCGCGTTTCTGAACATCTGGATACAATACCATGGCCAAAACAAAGACCATCAAGATTGCCGAAGTCTGTAACGAGGATAAGGAGCGGATAACATGATGGAATTACCCACCTACCGTCTCATATGAACCTGTGTGATATTGGTTTACGTCGAGTGCACAACGTTGCTTGTAAAAAAGCTTACTTACCCATAGTAGCAGTAGTAGCTGCTTTCTTTAAGGCACTCTCGAATGCAGGATTGGATACCTCCTCTTGCGTTTCCATCCGCCGCAAATTTTCTGCAACCATCGAAGATTGAACGAGGATCGAACTGTCTGCCTTGGCAAGGGTCGGACCAATGTCTGGATCCAAGAGAAAAATAAATACCTACCATGTGCTGTTGCACATATCGAAATGGTGCGTTGGCCATTTCATTGATGCGCTCGGTCGAAGATCGAGCAGTACGCTTGATCGATGATCCCCAACACCAGTCAGGTAACTTTAGCACTACATTCCACAAAAGTGCATGTCATGTTAACGTTCTCTCAGCTAGGAGAGTTGGGTTCTCACAGAAAGGGAAGGTCTTAAGCATCAATGCTCTTTCTGGGGTCAACACCGCCAGGCCCGGGATCAGTGCCTTTACCACTTTCTGCACAAGAGGATCATCACGAGCACTGGCATCGTAGCCATATACAGTTGACATCACAACAGATAACGAGAATCTGTAAACACGTAAATAACCGTTCAATCTATAAAGATAATTTGCTGACGTTGCGAAGTGGTCATGATAATGTTGAGGGTCATTGACAAGGTTGTTGACCATCTCATGAGCACGCCTGATCTGCATTGGGAGAAATTTCACTGCAGACTCGGAACGGAAAGTTTGGTGGAAGAGTCGTCGGCAGAGACGCCATTCATCGCCATAACTCATGAAACCGAAGATGATTGACAAGCCATACCTGCAAGAGCCTCAGACTGGTTGAATAGAAGAATACTGAAAGAACGCACGGCTCGAGTGTGGCTAGGTAAGGCCGATCAGAGTAAATCCGAGAACGCTTGTCCAGTAAGGCTTCCGCAGTGTGCTGAGAATTGACCACGACCATTTCCTCGTCTATGATTTGCACGAAGACCAAGTCCCCTGGTATAATGGTTTGCAGTGCATATACCCTATACTATTTGTTCACGTACCATACGCAGCACCCCATTCGGTATAAGTCAGCCAAGGCTCCCGAGCGTCAACAGATAAGACGTTCCCCAACAGTGGGAGCGGCACCGGGCCAGGAGGAAGAGAAGGACTATTCTGTCGCTTCGTGATGAACCGCCTCAGTACCTTGACGGCGACAAAGGAAAGAGAAATGCCGGCGATGATGGCAAAGTGACCGTCAACTGCAGGAGCCATGATTTGAGCGGTGGGTTAGCAAAATTTTATATCATACAATCGACCTTATAACCATGGGGAATTAGTAAATCGCCGTCAATTATGCTGTGTCTCCTATCGATAGGGCACAAGGAAAATGCTGCGCCACTGCTGCGACTGCTGCGGCATCTGCCGCGACGGTTCCAAATTTACAAATTACGCTAAGTAGCAAATTGATTCACGACACTTGCTTGTTGCTTGCCACATACTCTGGACTCTGCATCGCTGCCTTGAAGGGCTTCACATGATTAATATAAAGTCACTTGGGTATTGTTATCTTGAACTGTGTTACTGAAGATTGATCTATAGTGTGTTCCAACTTCCGAGTCCCAGATTTCAGACTTGTGCATTCTGGTTTCTGAAATGATACGCAAACGCAAATCCGCCACTGAAGTATGTATTCCAATACGCGAGTCTGCAATACTATGATGCGCAACATAACTACTGAAGCTTTAAAGGACCATGTGTTACACAGCTCGAGTTCATTTTCAGCAAGTACTAAGTACTACACTAGTGTCGCAGCACCAAGTCGTCGCGGGCGTCGCAGTCGTCGCGGGCATCGCGGGCACCATGTCGCAGCACCACCCAAATATGGAAAAAGAAGACGACCGCAATGCCCGCGACAGATCAGTTACTAGTGCCAGAATGTCAGTAGTAACTTGTATCCAGTTCCAAATCATCCTACATTTCTGTTATCGATGGCTTGAGCAAATTGTGTCGTTTGATCCTCAAGATTATGCACTAGCGATGGTCAAATTTGTCAGTCTACTAGTATGTCTTCGAATCTTCTGTGTGCGAGGCTGACAAGGACAACAGGGCTTAATCCAGCACATTTATAGCTACCGTTATCCTACTAATGCAGCGCCCTCAACAATACTGGGCTAACAGGAATTGAGGAGGCGGTAAGGGACGGAGTGATGATGTTGAAAACTGGCAAGATGGTTTTCGAACATGGCATACTAGTACGTGTATTGGGCTCGGAATCATTGTTTCTGATGAGCCAACTTGCTGAACCATCACACGTCCTGCCACACGCAAACTCACACTCATCAGTCAACTGCACGCTTCCAATGACTGCGGAACAAAACTCATTCATCAGGAATACCCCGGAAAAGTCATATACATCCCATACTAATAACATATGTTACGAACACAATGACAATCGTGACCATGCCCGCCCTACTCGTATACTACACCTAACGAAAGGTTAGCATGCTCAGCTGCCAATCCTCATGTAGATGCCCGGACTGTGGGTGACACAGGTGTCACTGGACCGACTGGACCTCAACGCTCAGGAGCGACAGGTAAAAAAATTCCATGGAGGACCGAGAACGCGAAGAAAGGTGCCAATGGCCGCGTCAGGCTTGAGACAAATGCCCGCAACTACGCAGTCGCTCATTAAAAAAACATTGTATGCGGAGGAATCAGACTACAATGCAGTATGATTCTGAAAGATCGTTTAGTAACAAGATAGTTGTTTAAGAGACCTGACTTGCAGACCAGGAGTACTGCGAATCTCGGTGATATCGCCTGACCGTGACTCTGGGAGCGTGGATACACACATAAGGAATCGGAGCACCCTCGAGTCCATGGCTCGTTCGGAGGACAAGTACTGGGAGGTTCCAGTGATTAGTAGTAAGTAAGTGTAGTTAATGCGCACTCACGGTTTAGGAACATCGCAGCAGTGGTCGCGGCAGGTGCCGCGCAGCAGTCGCAGCAGTGGCGCAGCATTTTCACCATGCCCGTTACCGGTACCGTATGTTTATTTTCCGCGTTATCTAATATTCCGTATATCACACGCTTCGACAGTATATAAAGGTCTCCCCGATGTGATCAATTGATTCCCCACAAGACCGCATCTGCGTGCGCCCTGTATCGTCAACCCTTCGCATCTATTCTGGGAGGTGCGAACCCTCACGCATATGCTCCACCCATCCCGCATCACGGGCCTGGCCGCCTGGGCTCTCAATGATAGACTCTGCTTCCTCGTCACTTCCTCAACCGCCAGGTTGCGTCGCGAAAGTCCGCGAACGCTGTGAAAACCAGAGCATGTTTTAGTTTTCTTGACCTTGCCCAAGACAACTAAGATATGCTCTGGCAAGATATACAACGATCCGTTGTTTGCCAGTGAGTTTTTTTCCAGGTCGCACTCTCAAACCTTCGGACAGTTCTGGGAAGTACGGCGATTCAAGATAGTTAAATGTGTTTCCCGTCACGTAGCAGAGAGCTTTTTTTACTTCTGGAGGTGGATATCGGATGGGCAAGGTTGGATAAATCGAGCTTAAATCGTCTCTCGTAGGTCCATCATCCTCTCATTTCATAGGTGTTCCCTTCTAGTATCGTTTCAGATATGTCGATCATAAAATGACAAGTTCAGCAGCATCACGCCCTGCAAACTTGCGTGATTCTACCTGATGCCCTCAGGCTGTCGATCTGAGTTGATAGATAACAACTTCTCCTGACGATATTTTCCTATAAAGCCAGAAGAGAAAGATGCTGCTGGCAGTCGATGGATTACTTCCGCCCAATAGAGAGCGACCAGATAAGCGCGCAAACAAGTGAAAATAAATTGAAATACCTCCTGCACGTAAATTATATATGATCACCTTTCGCTCTTTCTGCTGTGTTCCGACTGGTAGTACGCTTCTGCGGCACTCGACCCCTTCCATTCTATCGTCTCCTTTCAAGGTTCCGCCTAATTTCTGGACCAGTATCATTCGCCAGGCATAACCATTCTGCTAAACCGTTTCATGATAGAATAAAAGTGATTCATCTCCTTACCGTAATCAGCGTCCACCTTTATCTCAAAGAAATAGGTCATCAGCAGATCATACCACCTCGACCAAACAATGTCTCCTCCCTCACCATTATTGTTGCGTTGACAACATCTATTATGTCTGTTACAGCAAAGCGGCCAAATTGTAGGACTTGCAACAAGGACGGTGACTGCTGCGGTCAATACAATGTCTGGGCTATTCTTGTGAGTGGTAGCATCTTGCTTTGCATTCAGCTTTTACCTGATGGCTCGCCCTTGAAGTATTTGCATATTTGATGGGGCCGTATGCGCTCACAGCTAAAAGATGGTTCCAGGAGCATCTTACGTGTAAGCTAAACCTGGCGTAGGAGATCAAGCTGTGTTGTTCGAACTGCAGATGCCGCTAACCAAAAGGTGGCATTTTGGGCTACAAGCGTCGTTCGTAGCAGGCAGTGGGCCATGAGTGACTCAATTGCTTGAAATAAGTGCATGGCCGAGCCGCCTACAGCACGACTCGGCGGCCTCTCTGTACCTAGTATAGTAGTAAGTGCATAACCAGCCTGAGTGATCTCGAACATTGTCTTACTCGCTGACGGTTCTTCAGCATCTATTTTTGGTTTTATTGAAGTTTCCAATGCTACGTCCTTCATTGAGACGGGTCAGGGTAAATGCCTTGCAGATGAGAGCAGACGGGGGTTTCTGGTCGTCGAAAAGATATATCTGCGGCTGGAGGTGACCTTCTTGTGTATAACGTTCTCCCACCATCATCGTGAACAAAGCAATCAATGTTTTCGAACCAACTGCTCAGATTTATGAGATATTGAAGAGACGTTTGTTCGGTATTAATTTAAAGTCACCTTTAGCTTAGTAATCCTTCAATTTTGCTCCAAGTCAAGGTTCAACTCTTGTATGCTTGGTATATGCAGGTGCTCACATCTTTCAATCATATCTAGTCGAGACTAGTTGCCCATCTCACCTTGTTAAGATATTTATGAGCCACGAGATGAAACCTAACGCAGGGTTTTTGTCTCTTCCTAAAGAACTACAGCTCAACATTTTGAGCTCTCTTTCTTGCCGAGATATCCTTCGTTGTACATCCGTGAGCCCAATTTATGATTGTGGTCGTGATATTGTTGTCCTATATGGACTTTTATACTTACGATGATCGTCTTGCAGGTATCTAAGGCCCTTCGCCAGACGTACATGTCCTCTTCCGAGCTTCAGTACATCGTTGAACTCAGTGGCCAACGGTTGCTCCATGTTTCCAATACGGACAGTGTTAGCATCCCTGTTTCCAAGCGCCTACAACTCTTGAGGGACAAAGCTCACGCATGGTTCAAAGTCGACCCCCACTCTTACGAAACAGTCTCTCTACCAAAGAACATGCACTCTGACGAGCAGTTCGTCGCAGATGGGCATATCTACTTGTGGGATCAAGAAGAAGACATGGCTGCAATCATTCCGATACTGCCAAAGTCCTCACAAAAAACAGTCAAGCGCAACTGGTCTCCAGGAACATTATTTTCAGTTCCTGACTCAGGCCACCTCGATGTGTTCATGGATCCAGCACAAAACCTGATCGCCACCGCGTATTCTGTCACTGATGATACACTCGAGTCGAACGACGAGACACTCTACATCGACCTTGGAGTCCTGGATAGGGATGGCATTCATCCCCAAGCTGCTGGACGGACATTGTCTTTGTCGATGCTGCCCGCATCCAAGGACAAATGCTTTGTTACAGAAAGTGCCAAGCTCAAGGGATTTGGGAGGCATATTGCTTTGCGGCGCTCCTTTGCGCATCCATTCGATGAGATGTGGCAGCTGCATATTTGGGACTGGCAACACTCAGCGACATCTGATGTAAGTCATAGCCAGAAAACATTTGAAAGACTCGACGGCTGAGTGCTGATTCGCCATCTAGAGCGTCCTCAGTGGCACGAATTTCTTACCAGGCCCGATTGATTTTTGCTTTCTCGGAAACAATAGGTTGCTCGTTGCCGCCTACCATTTGATGCTCTATTCGATCGAGGATATGTCCCAGACGCCACAAGTTCTGGCGTGCTTCCTGATGCCGGTCCTATCTCTGAATATCCGGTGCTTCCTTCCGATGGACCATATTGATAGCTCCCCACAGCTACAAGCCCAACAAGCGATGTACACTTCAGATCCCCAAAACCAGCTTCTATGCATTACCACCGGAGCGAGTCAGACCTTGGTCATTTCTACGAGGATTTTCTTCAACCTTGAAGGAATAGCAGCAGCAACGCCAGTTCCGTGGGAACGCTGGGGCCCTTCAAATACTCGTATTTTCGAGCTCCCAGGTGAATCCAGAGTTCACGTTAGCGGGAATCGAGTCTTGCAAGCATTGTCAGTCGGCACGTCAGCCTCAGGTTACACGGAGTATATATTACACATTTTGGACTTCAGCCCGCTAGCTGTGACGAACAGGCGGGGTCTGGGACGAGTGGTGAAAGAACCGTCTACGATACCAGAATTCGTCGAATGGACTGGCAGGCCTGTGAAGAACTTGACAACGTCCCTGCCTTATGTCGAGGTCATATTGGACAGAAAGTTCGAATCAGAGTTAGCAGACATGTGGGTTGATAAGGATAGAATTTATTTGCTCAACACAAAGTTTGACCACGAAGTGGTAGGTTCAGCACATTACGCAATAGAATATAACGAGCTTGAAGTCACGGATGTTTAGAGTAGAGTTATATATGTAGTTCCTCCGTCATACGACATATGTACTGTACATAAGTACACTGGCTTGCTAGAGTTCCCATAAAGAGAAAGTTGTTCAAGAGGGATGCTGCTGGCAGTCGATGCGCCCAATAGAGAGCGACCAGATAAGCGCGCAAACAAGTGAAAATACCTCCTGCGTATATGATCTTTCGCGCTCTTTCTGTTGTGTTCACTGGTAGTACGCTTCTGCGGCACTCGACCCCTTCCATTCTATCGTCTCCTTTCAAGTGCCCATTATGTACATACCATATTGTCAGGAAACTCGTTCCCTCAAAATTGAACACTTGTTTACTTCGACTATTGGATTCCGAATTTGATTGCCAGCACTGGTGGTTTGTTACTTTGTACACTCTCCAGTCTCATCTTCAAGATCAGCCAAGGGCTAAATGCATCCTAGTTACCTAGCACTGTCCATTTGGGCACTGTCATGCCGTTCAGGCTAGCCAAGTTATTGATGCTGGTGGGAACACTTGGCAAGTGAAGTGGGTACGTACCCTATTGGCTAGACGACTAATAGCCAATCGAGTATCCATGTCGTGGCGTTACAGTAGTATCGTGCGGTGTAAGCTGGAGAATTTTCTTCATTCAGAGTTCTAAGTTTATACACCCGCGTAGGTTATACTTACCCTCTACTATCTGTCGGTGTACGGACATGGCTTCAGAGGACCTTCACTCAATTTCCACCGATTGGCTCAAAAGTCTAGAGGTTGCATCGTCCACTGGAGACACTGTGTCATTTGTGAACCATTTCCTTTCGGACGGGTGGTTCAGAGGTCAGTGCTTGTCCAAGCAAGTGAGGCGCACTAGCTTATAAGTACCCTCAGATCTTCTATGTTTTTCTTGGAATCACAGAACACTATCAGGTCTAGAAAAAATACGCGAATTTCTCTCACAGGTTGTTGATGGAAAGTCACGACTTGAGTATTCTAGTCTTCGTGACTTCAAGATAGACGATCACACTATCAATGCGCCTTCACCGTTCAAGTTACCAGGCTCACAAGGCATCGAAGGAGTACAGGGCGCTTTCACCTTCAGTATTACGAATCCGGCTGCACTCGGACGAGGTTTCTTCCGTCTGATGCAAGATGCCGATAAGAAGTGGAAGGCTTTAACTCTTTTCACAAACATGCAGGACCTCGTCGGGCACATGGAGTCTCCCCCAAACCAACACGGTTTATATGAGGATCGCGAAATAACTTGGGAGGAGGATGTCGACGCAAAATGCCGTGCTATCGAGGCGGATCCCACTGTTTTAATCGGTGTGCCGTTTCTTTTAGGAATCGTGGTGTTTTGACGAGTCATAAAAAGTTGGTGGTGGACAATCTGGCCTTATGTGTGCTGCGCGGCTACGTATGTTGGGGATCCGTACACTTATAATCGAGAAAGATGCGCGTGTTGGAGACTGCTGGAGGCAACGGTATGCACAAACGATAGTATATCTTCGTTATTAAATAATGCAAAACACAGGTACCCAAATCTTACGTTGCATACTCCCGCGTCTCAAAGCTCCAGTACGTCTTATTATCTTTTCACAGGCTTGGTGCTGATGAATATACAGTACTTTACAGTCCCTATCCGTATGTGCTTCCCACGGTTCAAAGGTATCGCATATCTGAACGATGTTAGGATAAACTTCCCAAAGTACATTCCTAAGGGGAAATTGGCCGATTTCCTGGAGTCATACGCTGTCAATCAGGAATTGTGTATCTGGCTGTCCAGTACCATAACCTCAACTCCAGTATATGAGTCATTGTCTGCAAGATGGACTGTAGAGGTACAGCATGGAGATCAGAAAGTAACCATCAATCCAAAGCATCTGGTCCTTGCCACAGGAAGCGGGAGTCCTCACATTCCTACCTGGAGTGGAATGGATGAATTCCAAGGAGCCTTGTATCATTCTGACTTCCATAAGGATGCGGAACAGTTCCGAGGCAAACGTGTCATCGTTGTGGGTGCGGTAAGTCATATCTGTGCACTTTTATACTGGGCACGTACTCACGAGACCGTTAGGGCAATGCTAGTGGGGATATATGTCAAGATTTCGTAGCACACGGTGCCGCTGAGGTACGTTTACGGATTTAAATACACTAAAGTCATATTTTCATAAGAAGGACAAAGGTAACGTTGGTCCAAAGAAGCGCCACATGCGTCGTATCCTCTACTGCCATGGAGAAAACTCGCTTCAGGTCACTTTACCCCAATGGCACCCCTATGGAGGAACTGGATTTCCGCAGCAATTCGATGCCTATAGCCTTCCTCCTGCAACTGACAAAATCAGGTGGGATCCGACACATGAAGATGTTGGATCAGGAACTCCACGACGGTCTGCGCCAGGCTGGATTCAACTTGACTTGGGAAGTTTCGCCCGGTAGTGGCGAGGTTGGGATAGATGGATTTTTGTTTAGCCGCCTTGGATCAGGAACTAGTGCGTTTAGATTGGTTCCCGAGACGGCCGACATTGCAATTAATACACAGTGCTTGACATTGGCTGTGGTAAGCTAATCATCGAAGGCAGAGTCAAGGTATGACTTGTATCTATTTTCTGAGGGTTGTAGCTGACGGTCGCGATATGCGTGTAGGTAAAGCAAGGCCAAGACATTAGTCACTTCGACAAAGATGGGATCACGTTTAAAGACGGCTTCAAGCTTTCAGCAGATGTCATCGTTCTAGCGTATGGTTTGACTGGTAGTTTCTCGTCGATCTTTCTCACGCACGTTGCAGTACAGGAAATGAACCCATCATGAAGACCGCAAGAGGTCTTCTTGGCAAAGAGATTACCGATCAACTTCTTCCGCCTGAGGTGTGGGGCCTTGACTCGGAGGGAGAACTTAATCAGGCATACCGACCCTCTGGACATCCGGGACTTTGGTTCGCTGTGGGTCCATTTGGAGCCGCGCGTTTCTTCAGTAAACACCTGGTAAGCTCCACCTTTCTCTGCTGGTCTATATATTTGACTGAATACTATGATAAAGGGTCTTCAGATATTGGCACGAGAGCTCGGTATAGCATGACGGAGGGAGGACTGCCATTGTACATAATATATTGCACTGGGTCAAAATAACAGATACTGAAATTCTCACTACCACGGAACAATGAGAGAAGACCAGTCATGCAAAACAAGAGCTCTCTCTGTGCCAATCTGTCGCGTGATTTCATTCTGACGACTGATACCCAAGACTTGAAATTCGCTAAGTAGTTGGCCATCAAGGACATTTTTCGACAAAGGCTTGGACACGGCGTCATTTCGCACAATTCTAACACAGTTATCAGTGAAGAACCCAGTGCAAACACAGAAACACTCACCGATGGGCTTTTGGATTCAATCCAGCAGTGTGCTGCACATTTCGTGCCAACTGCCCTTGCAAAAGTTGTAGTCGTTTGAAAACAGCTTCATCTACGGGTGTGAGGGTTGATAGGGATCCATCCGTAAATCCTGCCGATCGAATAAGATACATCATCGATGCAGATAGGATACGAGCCTCACCAGACACCAGTTTTGCTTGAGGAATGAGTTGTTCGTCTTTCGTGCGCCGAGCAATCATGATGGTCGAACGGCACTCTTTATGACCGTGGAACTCTGTGTGGCACAATAAATGCTGACCTCCTCTAGACTCGAGATCTTTCAATCAAAAACCAAAATTCTCAGATTACAGTTTCATCGTGCTATGACCAAGTGAACTCACCGGAAGGGTCATATGCAAATAGCCTTAGGACCCCTTCTTCGTCTTCGCTAGCGATGGCCAGATCTCCCCCGGCAAAGAAGAAGTCCACAGTTGTGGCATGCCTCTTTCTCACGTCCTTTGCGAGTGTGACGAGTTTATACGGATCCTCCTAAGAAACGCTTGTTCAGAAGAGAAACACAGAATAGATGCAAACGTCGTACTTGGAAAGCCACCAACCAGACGCTCTTCACGGCATCTCCGATCAAGAGAAGATTCTTCATTGAGCGTAGTGATGTAACGTAGACGCCAACATCTAGGAAGGCAACGCCGACTAAGCGTTCATCCAGATCAAGAGCGCGAACAAAAATCTGCAGGGATTATCAATGCAACATTGCATACAGAGCCGTCTAATTACCTTCTGGCCCATAGATGACACAAGATAACCATTTATGCCGCAAACAGCTGTCACGGGGCCTTTCGCGTCGTCCCTCACTCGCAGCTTCAGTTTGTACCATCTTTTTGGTGTCCAATTAGGATCGGAAACGACTTCAACGACCTCGAAAATGTATGTCTAGTTTCATAAATAAATTGGCCGAAGAGCATGGTGGATGGCAAAACATACCGCTCCCTTTACAGCCAAATCTTCTCCTCGGTTGATTGTCGTTCCCACAGCAATGAAATTCTTGCTTCCACTTTCCGTGCTTGTTGTTTCAAGGGACACACAAGTCAGGGTGTTGACAAGTTCGTTGGATGCAAATTCGTAACTAGCAAATACATCAATGTTGCTGCCGGTTGCAATCAAGAACAAACGCACCCATCCATTGTAACCCAATGTTCCGGCGAAATCAGCTCGAGCGTCGAGCAGTCAGCATGAGGGAAGGAAACACCGTTCCCTGAATAATTGTCAGATAAAGATACCTCGGACATGAGACCGGAACGCAAACCATCAGGCTCCCAAATAATGTTACCGTCTTCGTCATAGGAAGCAAATCGAGCTTGTAATGAGGAAGCGGCCACTATCAATGAAGCCGAATGTTCGAATATAACGTTAGAGTACGTGCGAGACCGAGGAATGCTGCGGTACGGTAGACAACTGTCAAGTTGGACTTCTGGAGCCCATTCAAGGAGAGTTGGACCCTAAATGCATGAACGAGTGAGTGTCTTGACTATTCAGCGTACCGCACACAAACCTCGTCAGAATACAGGAGAAAATCTCCCTTGGACTCCCAAAGAGAACATGCAGTGAATGCGTAAACGACAGTATGTCCCGAGGGTACCACCCTTAATCCACCCTTATCAGTTGCTATGATCCAGCATGGCCTATCGCCCGTGAAGAAAACGCCGGCAAGGGTACACTCCATGTTTGGGGAAGTCATAAATGGAACAAATGTCCGCGAGATTCTCTTATGCTCTGCAAGCACAGTCTTCTCCGTTTCCTCAACTCTCTGGATTTCAAAGGTTTTCGACACGACTTTGTGGAACTTGACCTTCAAAAATGCAGTCCGTGGGTTAGGTAAAGGAGGATCTGCTTGTTTTTCGGTGGGAGCAGGCGCCGGCAAGGCTTCATAGATGGCCATATTTCCCGAACGCGAGAAAACCTGTCGCAAATCTTAATAGATGAACCACAAGACTGTTTATTACTTACAAACAGATGAGGAACCAAAGACGTTTCGCCTAATGGTGCCACGAGAATTTGATCGATGTCAAGATCCTGAGGCTTTCTGGGGGGGTCTTGTGGCAAAGACAGTGCAGCAGGAGAGCAAGAATCCACTAATATATTCTCCAACGTAGAGATAGCAGTGGTCGAGAATACAAGAGTCAACTTTGGTAGTGACCAAATCTATAGAACTCGATATTAGCTAGCTTCATCCCAAAAAGTCAATGTGAGGCTGACCTCCATGACGCCCTGTGGTCGCACGAGCACGAGCCACTGACTTCTGTTGCCAGCTGTTACAGCCGCCTGCAGTGTAGACGTATTCTTATCTGCATGTGCTGCTGCAGGGGTAGTCTCGCTCGCCTCTATATCGAAGAGACCGATAGTATCTGTGAAAAAACAGCCTGCAATATAGCGAGATGTCTACATTGAAGCAGTAAATAGTGTGGAACAAGGTAAGCGAAATCATAAATACCTTGTCACCCATTGGAGACATATCTTTGCGTCGAATCTTTCCTCGCTCCGTTTCACCAATAAAAAGACCGATAGACTCGTCTTCTCGCAGGATAAGTACAAAGGGATCACAAATACTGCATGATTTAATTTTTGCACGAGGCAAACTACCATCCATATCTTTGATAACTTGTCTTTCATTACCGTCTTTATTCCACCTCATTAGTCACCAATGCACAAAGTTTGTAGGAATATCGTACCGGGCTCCAGCACACGGATAGAATTCGTCATGACATGCAATATAGTGGTGCGCTGAAAGAATGGAGCTGCGCTTATAGTTGTCCCAGGTATGCGAGTGGGAATAGCGACATCGGTCTTTGCGGTTCGGGTTGCTATCTGCGAGGGTTTAGCGAATAAAACGTACCAAAAAAAAATTACCTACCCGCGAAACACCTGGTGTAGGATTGGCGTCTGTGCTAATTATGATCGTGTCAATTTCAGCTGAAAATGGGCCCATAGACTTCTCATAAGAGAGACCATTGACACGTTGGGACTGGCGAACGGGAAGAGACCAGATTCCTCGTGCCCCTCCAAGTACATGCAGTTTCCGCTTAGTGCGCGTCGGAAGGTCACGCTGTGCTTAATTGTTAGTTGAAGTAGCAGTCTGTAAGATTATATCAACTCGCTTGGAAAAGGGTGAATCCGCCTAAATGACCTGCTCCTGTGGCAGCAACAAGTTCCGGAACAAAACGTTCCTAAAAAAGATTGAGCAGAGTCTGACCAATCAAAAGTCATATACTTACTCCGTTCTTAGCAAGAGAGAATGTCATATCAGCGATTGGGCCATATGCAGGTAACGAGTCGCACAATGAAAGGTGAATGATGGAACGAGTCTTTGTCGTAGCACTAGCTCCCGATGCTGCTCCAACTGCCATCTGTGTGGCTGTCTGTGAATCGCCGTATAGATCTGTGGCGCATGAGTAGAGTTTCAAAACCGCGTGGAAATGCAACCAACCATCGTCATCGTCTAAATCCATACTATCAGAAAAATTCATAGTGGTGGAAACGCCAGTTTGCTGCGCAGGAAGCTCGAGAGGTACCTCTTCTCTAGCGGTCTTCATCAATACCGACGGTCCAACCATGCTCCCTACGAAAAGCAGGTCGTCATTCAGTAGTCTGGCGACAGCTGGTATGGTTGTCTGAGCAATAACGGGTAATAGCACTAGTTTGGATACAGTCCTCCCGTCAAGGATAATCTCGATGGGGTGTATCATGCCATCCCTTCGAATAACAAAGAAAGTCTTTTCATCGACAAACACGAGCCGACTACCTTCGAGATACAGGCCAAGGTCTTTGTCTGCTGGAGGCATTGGCATATCACTGACGCGTGTAGCCCAGCCATTGACAGGAAGGGACACACGGCGAGCTGCTTGATCGACATAAATGATGGAATTGCTTGTGAGGACGATGACACCTCCAAGTGAAGTTGCGCAGGGGAGGAGAGACACGCTGTCGTAAGGGAGACCGTCGACAGCCGTGATAATGGGGTAATTTCGACTCATGAGATCCAAGGTGAATATATAGAGGCGAGCCGTGTCACGGTACTCCTTGAGACGACTATATGGAACGTGTCATTGTGTGAAAATTAAGCAAAGCATGCCACGTACCCAGCCCACGTCTGCTCAGATTGGCAAAGCACCGCGACCGTTGGATTGTTGTATCCAGGGAGGAAAACAAAATCGATGACGTTCCGAATGCGTTCATCGACATCGTTGACGAGGTCTAGCACGAAACTTGGAGAGTATGGTACGTCCCTGTTGGTTGTTCGAATTTGTATCGAGCCGGAAGTGGGGGAATTCAGAAGAATGCATACCTTGTATGGTTTTGTTCCTGTTCCATTACATCGAGTTCTGCTTGAGTCTGAAAGAACGGAAGAATAGCGAATGCGTCCTTTGGAAGAGATAGTGCTGCACACCGGGACAAGGGGTCCGCACGCAATTCTGTTCTGAAAAGGGGACTATCCAATGAAACCTGAAAACTGGTCACATATACGCGCAGCAATGGAGACAAAAACGAACCATCTGGGGCGCTCGCTCATACGTATGTATTGAAACGGTGACAAGATCGTGTGCAGCGTCCGACCACTCAAGAAGAGCTATCTGGAATTACGATCAAGAACCACTATGAGACGCAGAATGCATGCCATCATACCTTGGCGTCCTTGAAGGACACTAATAGACGATCTAGTTGGTCGTCATAAGTTGACATAATACGCACGCTCTCCATGCCAGTGACAGTGCCATGCAAAGTATGCTCTCGCACAAAGTGAAAGCGTGACACCATTGAAGGATCTTTCTTTGCAGTAGCCTGTAATGCAACTAAGCTACCCTCTCCAAATTCAGGCTGGATATTCACCTTTACAGAGCCCATATTAACCCACCCTTCTCCACCCTCATCCATCTCCACTTCGCCCTCCACAGCCTCAGTGCCTTTTCGTACATGAGCCCTTCGCTCTCGCTCATTTTCAATGTAAGTTGAGATTTGCGGTGGTTGCTCCCACACTTCGAAAATGCGCAAAAGGTTGGATCTTGAAACAACAACATTGGTAAGAACGCGAGGTAGCTTTTCTTGGCTGGAAGATCCAGTGATAGTTGAGGGCGTTAGTTTGAGTGTCGTTGCGAACTCAACACCACTAGGGGGGAGTATGTCGTGTCTCAAGGCATGCATTTCTCCCTCAGCGACAAGTGCACCCCGGTCTGATCAAAATTGTAAATTTGTTTGTTTCTAAAGGTCTTGCCAAACAACCTCTTTTAATTGATTATGTAACTAGGAAATCGATGCACCCGGCCACTCCGCCATCATGGCAGCCGCTCACCCCGAATATGTTGCGTGCTTTGAGGCCAGTCTATGGGCATTCTTTTCCGGCGAGCCCCCTACCGGCCAGCTCCGTTTTGCACTCCCAGAGGTTGCGAACTCCACTGCTTCCTTGTTCACCAACATCGCAAAGACCCTCCCTTCGCACTATTTCAGAGAATCAGCACCGGCGGCGACGAAATTAACAAGAACTGTTACGCCGATGACTACACCACGCAGCAGCAGCTTAAGAGGACTGGCATGACGCTGACAGTGCCTTGACACGTTCATACAGACCACTCATGGTGCACTGATTGCCCAGGGAAAGACGCCTGTCGTATGGGAAGGTGTGCGCTGCCCTTTATTTGAACAACAGTATCAAATGAAGACGATTGGTCATTTAGAAATTGGAATATTACACTCTCAAACGAGACTATTGTGATGTAAGTATGATACTATCATGATCTGACTCCGCTGATTCATCTGTATTGAAAGGGTTTAAATTTCTTCTGCAGATGCTGCAGCAGTGGTAGAAAAGGGTTTCAGGATCATCCAAACACCATCAAATTACTTCTACTTGGTCAGTTGACGAGTTTTTCTACAGAACACGATGTCATCATGTCCTTATTAAGTTATTATCCCAGTCTTCTGGAGCTGGTGAGTGGCCCAACTGGGTTAGTCTTCATATTGTCGAATGTACTCGATCTGAACGGGCATCCCTTGGGAGAACAGAAGTAGCGGCCCCTTCGGATCCTGGTCCGAGGTAAGTATGAATGTCGAAGATGGCCACGCATCTCACAATGTTTCGTTAGGCATATACCTTTGATCCATTGGCAAACTTGACCGAGGCGCAGTACGAACTTGTTCCCGGAGGTAAACACGATCTAGTCTCGAGGTCAAATCGATCTTTCTGAGCAATCTGCAGGCGAGCAAATTCTATGGAGTGAACAGTCTGGTCCCCAAAATGTTGACTCGATCATGTGGCCACGCGCTGCATCATCAGCAGAAATTTTCTGGAGTGGAAAGCAGCCCACCGGCGCTGCACTCACGTCACCGAAGCACTTCCTCGTTTGCATGTAAGTAGTTCTTCTTGATGTGGAAGTACTTAATGATATATGAATTATACAGGACGTCAGGTACAGGATGGTACAGCGCGGCGTCAATGCCATCCATCCTACTCCAGCCGCAGTGGTGTGCGTTTCGACCGGACCCATGCGATATGTACGAACTTGATCCGAACTCTAGGTCTTTTCACAAATTTGTTTTGGTGTTATTTAGTCTGCACCGTTGCTTACAAGATGTGTACAGCTCTCGTTCACCAAAAACTGACTTATATCGAGAAATTTGTGCCTCGGCTTTGCAAGAAGTCACGCGGCAGAAATGGAAGTTGACGAAATGTTCGAGTGATGGATGCACTGAACAATGATTAATGATTCACGAAGTATCCACATTTTTTTGGCTTGTTTTTGGCAATAAATTGTATCCATACTAGTACGTGTATATAGCCCACATGGATATCTTGACTGGAATTCTGAAAATAGCAGGTAGTAACAACACCCGTCCCACGCATGCAATATTTTTAGATTTACATAAAACCTAGAACGTTTGAGTCCTGGTGACTCTACCGTACCAGTGATCAATGCATCAGGCTTTACTTGTTCCCGAAGTTCTCCTAGAGATATTTGTCTATGTGAATACTATACCATCTACATCGACACAGAAATTGCTTGCAGCGCTTGCAAGGACATGCAAAATCTTTCACGAGCCTGCGATGGATTTACTGTGGACCGAAATCCATGGGTTAGAACCACTGCTAGGCTGTGTAGCAAGGTTATATCCACTGATATATCGTAGTGGTACAAGGGTCAGTGCACGATGTCATTACGCTTTGTTTGTTTATTTTCGGCTGACCGAGCGTCCACATAACAGTGGGACGATTTTTTTTCCTGGGCGAAGGGCGTCGAGCCATTATCTGCCCATGAGGCCCGTCAATTTCTGCGTCACTCCTCCCGTATACGCACATTGAACATAAAAAGGACCCATCCTCAACTTATCTCTGTCATTCCCGCCAATGTATGCGTATTTCCGAGGTTGAGGTCGTTAAGTCTTTCCACCGCATTTTTGAACCTCTTTCTGCCTCACACGCTGCACCAATGTCATCTATTGACCGTCGACAAGGGTCTGCAATCTTTCGTGACACGTTGCATTGCTTTGGAGCATTTGGACATCCACATTGACACACTAAGCTATTATGACAGCGCAACGGAGCTGTCCCTGCTATCCGATAGGATTCGTTGGTGCACGCGGCTTGTAACTCTGTCTTGTCCAATGCTCGACTTGGCAACATGGAAGCACCTCTCCTGCCTCCCTACTCTTCTCAAATTGGAAATTGATCAAGGGTATGATGACCCTCCTTCGCTGCCAGAACAAGATATCGTGAATTTCTCACCATTCCTTAATATCACAACTCTTTCCTTTCGACAGCTGTTCTATGCTGCAAACATCATCATGGTCATACAACACTCGCAATTTCCCTCGCTGAAAGAGTTCAGGTTTGAAGCCGACTATCTGTCTTCAGAAGAGGCCGAGGAACTCTTTCATGCTCTGTCCCGCTGTAAAGCGTGTCGGACTCTAGAAGAAATCATCATTTGTTCTCCTGATGAGAGTGGCCTTGCACGCCTAAACAGCGAGCATTTGACATCAATTCCACATTTCCTTTGCTTTACACAGCTTCGAACCCTGCAGCTCATGTTTTGCAATTCCTGCATCTACCTGGACAATGACATTCTCTTGCAAGCTATGTCTAGTTGGCCGCACATCCGCACTCTGACAATCAACTGCTTAGACGGCCATCTTTCTTCTTCCGAAGTCTCCCTCCATGGATTATTCACAGCGCTCAGTCTATGTCCACAATTGCATACACTACGGATTCCAATCAATATTGCAACTATCGACGTTGATCCTGATGCTGAGCCAATACAACATACCTCCCTACGAACTTTGGAACTTTTGGATACATCTCAGTCTCAAATAGCAGATGCTGAAACTCTCGCTCGCATCATTTCCGCCTGGCTCCCTTGTGTCGACAAAGTTGAAAGCATGGATAGGACTTGGGATGAAGTCAACAAGCATTTCAAATCTTCGGCAGCAGCTACTGCGCTGTATGTCGCGGGAGCCTCCTAGAATAGTTAAGCTTGGAATACCTTCACGTCTGGGAATGTTGTTACATACCTTAAAGTTCTTTCATTCCTTCGTTGTCGTTGTCGTTGACTGTAGTTATAAACTGCATCACCTCAACATACTTAATCGCCAGCAAGAACTCACCGGTTCACTGATTTGTATGATTTCCAACACGATTATTGGCGTCAGGTGGGGGTCAATTCATCTTCTGGCAGTCTGACTGCTTTCTTCATCATGTTAGACAAATGATCCGATCACCTTCGGACGTTTCCTATCGTCAATTACAGTAAAAATCGGTTTCTCGCCTCCAAAGTGTAAGGAGCAGCATTTTGGATGCCTACTACGCCGTGAAAACTGAAAAGAGCACGCGGAGGTCATGATGGTAGACGAATAGGAGAAAATACAGCTAGGAGAGAAATGGACGGCTGAAGGAGACACCAGAATCGAGAGCGCAGGAGAATATGTTAGATAAGATCCAGTGGATGGATGCTCGGCGCTCGAGTCTCGAGTCTTTGAGTTCAGAAGCAAAATCTATCTTCATAGATGAACATATTGGATCGCATAAATCGGTGCACACAACTTGACTTATTTCCGCTCCCTGATCCCACTCTTCCCCCTCTGTTCACCTTGGATTGCTTTCTCCCTTTCCCTCGCTTCCCTGATCATCTCGCCTTCCTGTCTCCACTCTTTACGCTCAAATGCATCCCATTGTTCACGAGCATCTACCCAACGTTCTTGTACATCCCCCACGCTACCTGCCATTGGGCCTGCAGCAGATGAGAACAATGAAAAGGTGTTGGGCCTCATCGATGTAGGGACGGACGAAGCTTCAAGTGTCCCTTCTGGTGCCGGGGCGTCGTGTGGTGGTACGAATACGTATCCTGTAGCTCTATCAATAGCGCGTGTTAAGTGAAGCATTGAGGCTTTATCCTGCGCGAAAAAGTAAGTCAATATTCGGACTACGTAGCAAGAAATCTCATCACATACCTCTACGGCTAACGTTTCGAATTCTACAAGTCCATAGTCCTCGATTACAGAGCACAATTCCTTGGTGAGAGCAGTGTACCGCGGTGATGAAGTGTTTAGTGCGTTCTCCAAATAGGAAAGATCCTGAACCTCCGTGTAAAAATTGAGATTGAAATCTACAAGAAAGGTAAGTGACGTTGGTATGTTGCATGGTCACCAATACGCACCCAGGTCTCCGTATTGAGCTATCAAATCAACCTTTGACAAAACATTGACATGCGGCAGTTCCAAGTGTAGCATAGTCCGGAGGGACAGGAGAAGTACGGAAACATATTTCGCGGCATCGGTCACATAGTGCGCATCACAGAGATGAACGGCAGCTAACTAGCGTCGTTCAGTGAATCCTAACGACAGAACTAATATAATAGAACGCACCCTAAAACCGATCTTCGTCAATCGTTGCACTATGTTTCTCAGCGCCTCGTGATGTGTGCTGAGCTCGACCTGACCGGGTATGTCGAATAGTACATATCCGTCGGATCCCAGCTCTTGGAGCCGTGCCTCGAGCCAATCGAAGTTGGCGTATAGGTACTCCATACAGAATAGGATGCCTCCGTTGGGGCCAAGTCCGTGCTCGTCCATGACATCCTGGAGGGTGATTAAAGAAGTTATATTGATGGCACATGGATAAGGTATGTTGTCGTTAGCTGGGTCAAGGTTGACAATGGATATTGGGCGATTCAAAGCAGTAAATAACTGGTACTTTCCATGGCAGTAGGTCGATTTACCGCTTCCTGGCGCTCCACACACCACTTCACCAAATGGCATAGTAGGAAAGTGTAAGGGACCATGTGATCATGATGCGGTCAAAAGTTCTATATTTATGTGTATTTTGAGATGTTCCTGACTTGGGTTTGGCCTGCAGCAAACACGTTCTCTACCAAATTATCCGTGGACCTACCCTGCTGTCAGGCTGGTGTCTGCTTCGATTGTATTCAAGTGTCGCTTTTTAGCCTCTCGTCCTGCTTTTCACCCTGGTTTGTTTTTTTTGAGCCGGTTGTTATCTATCTCGTCGCTTCATCGTAGGCTCTCTGTTCACATATCAAGTCCTTGACGCACAGATTTGCAGCCCTCGAATGTTCGCGATGAATGAGATCCACAGAAACCCGTACCAACGTGTTGAGATATAGCCTGTCGCAAATCTTCCATAGGGGTTCCGACTATATCTTTCCCATAGTGTAGTGATTTAAGCTCGTGACGTATACCACAAAAAATTAGCGCCGGCAGTTTCTTTGGTTCTTTTCTCGTGTTTAAAACATCGCATCGAAGTTCGACACAGAACGAGTTCGAGGAAAACGGTGTACCTTGACAGGGTCCTCATACTGTATTTGACATGAGCGCAGAACAGGAGCTTCGTTATCAAAATTTGACACCCACCACCCAGAACGGTATATCTGACACGACAACCTCTGTACCCTTCATTCTACATTTCGCCTTCAATATCTCATAATCTCCAACCAGCTGCTCTGCGTTCTTGTCACACGTCAGAACTTTAAGGCTTGGGAGCGCATCCACTGCTTCGATAATAGGCTGGAGCGTGTTGCGGTAAACGTGATTGGGATTTCTGAAAGAAAGGTGTTCGATAGTGGGCGGGAGGTCGGGTGCTAGTGGAAAATGTGTGGGCACATGGTAAATTACTAGCTCTTCCAGAGCAGTGCACATACGGAGCAGAGCAGCAGAATAGATATTGTAGTGCCCGAGACGGAGGGAGCGAAGTCGCGGCGCGTGCAGAGAAAGAATACTTCGATGCGTGGGTCCTGGTATATCTCGCAGCTCTAGGATGCGCAGGGAGTCGGCGGATGATTCAAGCAACCAGGTTAAAACATCTGGTGTTGGAAACCTCGTCAGGGCAAGCTCATACAAGCAGACCTCTGCACCAGGTCGGTGTGCCAACTCGTCAGCGTCGGTATTCATCCGCAGAACCGGCGTAGTGGCAGTGCGCCATGGCCACGCCGCAATCTCCTTTTCAATTTTGAGAAATTGGATGTTATTCCATATCTTGAGCAATTGGAAAAGGATGGGCGATTGAAGTCCACACTGCACCAGTGTAAGCGCTTTTATTTTCCTCCCTACATCTCCCAGCTTCTTTAGTATCTCCTCCTCGAATTCGTGTAATCCGGTGATGCTCAGCGCGAGCTCGTACAACTGAGGGCAAGCTTGCAGAAGGATTACAAAGTCATCCGCACTGCATCCGAGTCCCCCATTCGAAGTTCCCCCGATTGATATTTCGAGGATTCGTACACATTCACCTAAGGCTTTCCCCCGGCCTGGCGAAGAGAGTAGTGCTGCACGAAATATGGGGATATTGTGTTGCTCAAGTTTTGTGGCGCAACGAAAGAGTAAGGTTTGTGCAGGTCCTGACCAGGTCTTGCACACCAGCGCAGCAGTTTTGAGGAGGGTATAGTTTGGGGTGCGCAGCGAGGTGTAGTACCCGTGTTCTAAGATGCATAAGACAAGTTCAGGAGGAACGAAAGACATCTGGAGAGTTTATCAGCTGAGATCTGAATTGCTAGACTCCGATCTGCAGTACGTCACCACCAATTGTTCGAATCAGATATTTATGCGATGATTGGATTGCAGGTTTCTGGATATATGTGACGGCGATGTACCAGTATTTGCTTGTCGCAGGGGCCAGTTAGAGGTTCAGAATTGAACGTTCGTCGAACTCGCAGTCAATAATACCCGGTTATCCGCCGTACAGTCATCCGATTTAAAGGCACAACTTGCTTGTCTGACGTACGTTTCCAACTTGCAAGGGCAATGTTCACAGCAAAAGGTTAAGAAACCATCCAGCTCGGAGTAACCTATACCACTTATCACCACTAACACTCAGGAAACTTAACATTACTGAATCAACAATTTCCGACATCCGTCAATCTAAATAGTCCTGTGGATAGTAAAACAACACATTTCAAGCCGACTCGTAACAGACTTTTACATGCGAATAATGAGCTGCTTGATCGCCGACATCCACAAGCCAATGTCATCTGTCTGCGAGCCACGAGTGAGAAGGTCGACATGTATAGACAATGCAGCATCTCGGTCATGCGCCTCCATGGCTGTCAAGCAACCCTTGAATCAGGATTGCCCAAGCGTATTGATGGGAAACACGTACCTCTGGCCAAAACAAGCAACTGGTCAACCACAGGCTTGGATAATGTTTCACAATTCAAAGCATCAAATAGAGAATTGATTCGGCGCTCAAGGTCATCGGCCATTCGTCTTTGTTGGGGCTATGGAAGATTGTCACAGAAGAGCTTCAATCACAGAAGACAATCACGTACTTGCGTCGTCTGCTTCATCCGTGTGAGTTGCTCGTTAATGACATTGAAGATGGGTAACGCAGACTCGGGGATATGAGCCCGGTCTCCAGGGGCTAGAATTAATAATCAACCATGTGTCTGCTGCATCATTGAGAAGACGTACGATATTTTGGTGGCGGTGGACCTTGTCGAGAACGTGGAGGCTGCGTGTTGCTGGCACCTCCGGCTGATGCAACTCCAGGAGGTCCCTGCTGAGGAGGTAGACCGGCAAGCGGATGTGGTGCGGGAGGCACTCGCAGTGGACCCTGAGGAATTCCACGGGGCTGCGGCTGCTGCTGGACTTGGCCAGGAGGAAGTGCGTATGGACCTGGTGGTGGTTGCTGAGCTTGGCCGGAAGAAGGTGCATAGGGACCTGGCGGCGGTGCCAGAGGACCAGCCTGTCCTGGTGGAGGTGCTGCGTATGGTCCAGGTGGGCCGAGTGGCTGTCCAGGGCCACGTAGAGGACCAGGTGGCGGAGTAGCACGCGCATACGGCCCAGGAGGCTGCAACTGAGCGGGCTGCATGGACGGCGAGTATGGACCAGGAACAGAAGGAAGAGAAGCATGCTGTTGGGCGGGAGACATCAACCGATTTGAGGGTGGTTGCATGCCCTGTGGATGAGCAGGAGGCCCAGAGGGAGGTCGAGTCTGAGTGGGAGGTGGTGGGTGCATCATCCGCTGTGCCACCCGACTTTGCACACTTGTTGGTCGTGGCGGAGGGGGAAGAGGAGCGTTCTGACCATGTCCACCCGCATGTGGGGAGCCAAGTGCAGGAGGGGACGCAATTCTGGGAGAGGGAGCATTGGGGAAGGGAGACACTATAGCCAGGGGCTTCTGAAGATTCAGTGAAGATGAGGCGCGACGATCATTGGTCACAACGGGAGCATCATTCCAGCCACCGTTTGGCATGCGTTTCGGTGGTGCAGAAGGTATAGGACCACGGGACGGTGGCAAATGTTGGTGTTGGGCTGACTGTGGAACTGAAGTGGGGTGGATCGGCCTGGTAGCAGCGGGTACAGCATATGGATCGTAGGATGGCTGAGAGATGGATTGAGCAGGCGCATATGTCTGAGCAGGGACAGGTGGTGGGTAGCTGGCGTAGCCAAATGATGCGGGGGGAATAGTAGACGTAAGGTCCGATTGAATGGCAGCACGGCTGGTGCCTGCTGCAGGAGCAGCTGGGGTTACATTGCGCTCTCCAGAAGCAATCAATAGACGCTCCCTGATTCCTGCACAGTCCAACGCAGACCCTATGTAATCTGCCGGCGTTAACTTCAAAAAGGTAACAGCCTCTTTCACCAAACCCTGAGTACTGAGCACGTCTGCATACTCAAAGTACCGATCGTACAACGCGGCGAGTTTGTACGTCTTGGCACCGGCGTCTTCACCTGGTACCTGTGCCAAATCGCCGTCCACATACTTGGTAGCATCGCGGAATACGGTCACCTTCTCTATGAAAGTGTGTAAAGCGAAGGCATGGGCTGCATACCGCGAACTGTTCAGTTGATCTTGATCATCCAATAACAAAATCTCCTCTTCGGCGAGCTCCTCGATCCAGATGTTCAAGAGTCTCTCCAGCTTTCCTGCAGCTAGATATGTCAAAGTCGCCGTCTTCCTCAACTCAAGGGAATCGTCCTCGTTTTCTGCACTGCCTTCATGCATCAGACTGCTCTGGAATTCCAGCCTACTCCCAAGTTGCTCCGCAAGGTTCGAAAACTCCTCCTGGCTCGCAAAGGTACACAGCACCACAAATATCTCCTGCCATTCTCGCAGGTCGGCATTCTGTACGATGTCCGAGAGATCATTGGTGACAATGCTCTGGAATAAACGAAGATAGGGATATGAGGTGGTACGCCGTTCGAAGTAAGCCTTCTGGGTGCGTTGAAGAAGATCTTCGCCACCCTTGATCGCGAGTAAGATAGCGTCCGCGTAGCGTTCGGCAGAAAGACACAATGAAACAGCAGACTCGAAGTCACCAAGCACCAGTGCTTTCGTCACCAGCCCATCCGTCTCACTCTCGTCAGAGGGGTAGATCTTGAACGTGTTCTTCAGGTTCTCACTTGCTACACTCGAGGGACCAGACCCAATGGTAGCAGCGACACTTGAATCAAGACCGTAGTTATGATGAGGCACCTCGAGTTCGGGCGCAGCACCAATTGTGCTGAAGAAGTCAGCACCCGCATCCATCTGGGGTGTACCAAGGGCACCTTCATCACCAAAGAGACTTGGAGCAGTAGTCGTGGATTCACCATCTGTGACCTGGACGGCGTCGGATGCAACGCTGGCGCTTACCTCCGAAGGCGTCCTTTCGACACCCATTGTCAACAAATCCTCTTCACTACCATCGTATTGTGCTTCTGGTTCTGCAAAGGACACCACTGGCTCGTGGGGTTTCGCTAGGTCCGCGCCAGCTTCATCCACGCTATAGCTGGACGTGTTGACTGATACAACCTCCTTCAGCTTCGCAACCGCTTCCTCGACACGCCCCTTGATCTCCTCTTTAGAGTAACCTAACAGCGTGACAAGTTCGTCCCTCGAATTCGCACGGAACAAACTAAGGAGGGCCTTCCAGCCATCTTCACCAGCTTTCTCCGAGCGTACCCGCTCTGCGAATGTGCTCAAGGTATTGGTATCCACAGCTTGTTGTAACTTTTGCGCTCGGTCGACAATATCTGTCTCTGTGATAACTTTTCGGATGTGCACTACGCTGCTCTGGTTTTTCCCTGAGGCTGCAGGTAAATTACCAACGCTGACGAGCTGCCCGCCGAACCCAAACGAACAGGAAGATGGGCGGCGAAGCCACTTGGGTGGTTGTTTGAGACTGAGCGTCGGAGCCGTGGTACGGGAGTAACCTGGCACGTCAAATACATCTGCACCATCGAGTTTTGGGGTCACAGGGGGGACTGTAGAATCATTCGTGGACTGGATAGAGTGAATTCCAACCGTGCCATCAAAGAAAGCGGTAGCCAGGAGATCAGGATTTCGTGGGCACCATTCCACTTGGAAAGCCCAATTACCCGCAGAAGGAAGCTGTTTAAAGGCAAAGTTAGAACATTAGACTTCAATAAATCGAGCCATACCTCGCCGATGATCTCAGATGTCTGCGGGTTCCAACAGAGGGCGCGGTTGTCCTTTCCACACGAAAGCAAGAGGTCTGCATCATGCTTGCACCACGAGAGCGACAGAACACCCTTCTCGTGCCCTGTAAGGATCTAAGAACAACATGGGGCACATTAACAGTGAACGAATGGATATATTAAAAGCGTACTTTTTCCGGTGCGCGTGCGTTTCGAAGATCCCAAACCATGATGACGGGAGACAAGTCATCCTCGGAAGCTGTAACAAGACGAGTTGCCTGAATTGAAATCCCAATTAGTTCCCGAGCCATAACTGTTAGAATTGTGAGCGCCTACATTGTCAGGGTGCCACGCAATCGCACTCATGCCGCGTCTGCCGCCAACGGCCATTCCACTACCAACGCCACTTTGGCCTGCAAGCGTGCCCGCACCACCGCCGTAAGCAAGGGCGACTACCTCACGTTTCCCTCGCAGATCCCATACTACAGTATAGCCCGTACTGCTAGCGCCTGCAAGCACGTATTGTACTTGTTGGTTCCAAGCAACAGAAGTGATTTCATCAAGCTTTGTGCTCCTCGTGCCCGGCGTAGGAGAGTACGGCTTCGACGGGTCATTGAGATCCCAGATATAAACCTATATTGCGACAAACGTGTTAGGGGGAGAATGATTTGCGATTTGCAGAGGAGAGTCTGCGCACCTCGCCGTTGATGGCACCAGAAGCCAGAAGGTTTGTTTGTATGGGGTTGAAATCAAGGCCACGGACAGGACCAGTATGACTGGTGTTGCGAAGGATCAAAGATTCACAGACGCTGGGTACGCTAGTCAGCTGATGAAACCTCGTAAGAAAATGTACGTACTCGGCGTTATCAATGATTTTCGCTGGGTCCCACAGGGCAAGTTCGCCGTTCTCCATACCAGCTGCAATGACCCCACGTGAGCGGTCTCTATGCACTTGACCCCATGCAAGACGGTTGAACCTATGACGATCATTTTCATGGACTTCTATTGTTGCACGCGACTAGCACGCTCACCTTGAGCTGTCGGTGACCGCGCCCTTTGGGGCAGGCAAACCATCTCCTCCGAGATCATATTCGTTCTTGTCCATGAAATCAGGTTGCCATATCTCGAGCTGAGATTCATTCGAAAAAGACTCGTCGAGTGCGCCAGCAACCGAGCCAGTCGCAATAAGGGGGAGCGACGCGGTCGGTGACCACGCAAAAGTGGACGTCCTGTAGATTTCTTTAAGCTTCATGACGGATGTTTGGGTCAAGCCCTTCAAGACGTGTCAATATCTACGAAAACTTGTCCGCAGTTTTCGTACAAAGTCTACTAAACGTGGTCCGTTATCTACCAAATATGTATATAACAGTTTGTGCTAAATTTGTCACCCTGGTAACTATTCTGGTATTTGCACCTTCGACCTGTAGTACCTCGGACAATTCAGAATAACATTGACCAACACCATGATGGACACTACTTCCTGACTTGCGTACT